AATGCAAAGGGGTCTTGAGACCAAAATCTTTGAGAATTGCTGTGCTGGAGTAACAACCAACCTAACACATTAAAAACTAAACTCTCTCTCATGCATTTCCCAAACTCAGTTTTTGTCTTCTGTTTCATGTTTTGGTAAATGGTACCACTGACTACCCACCTTCCAGGCCAGAAACCTGAGGGTCATCCTTACCCCCCCTTTTTTTTAACCTAGGTGGTAAATAGTCGTCACTAACATTTATTGAGGTGCCTGGTGCTATTCTTCAGTTCTTTACATCCATTATCTTGTTAAAACCTCACAACAACCCTACATGGTAGAGGTATTCATACTTATCCCTGTTTTACAGATAAGAGAACAGAGGTACAGGGTTGTTAAGTACCTGGCCCACGGTTATGCATCTATTAAGATGCAGAGCCAGGATTTGAATCTAGTCAGTCTTTTGAACCTGCACTTCTTTGTTCTGGAACAGTTTATATAGATTGATATAACGTTTCTTGAAGATTTTATATGCACATTCCCTATAAAGTCATCTGGGCCTCGTGCTTTTTAGAGAGGTAAATCTTGGAGTTTTTCAGTGTCTTCTGCTGTTATTATAGGATCTTCTCCTCTATAAGCTGATCTTGGTAAATTATATTTTATAGAGCAGACGCTGAACAACTATAGCTTGCAAATTTGGCCCATTGCCTATTTTTGTATATCAGGTTTTGCTGGAACAGAGCCACATCCATTCATTTATGTGTTGTCTGTGGCTGGTTTTTGTGCTACAACAGCAGAGCTGAGTAGTTGCAAGAGAGACTGGATGGCCTGTAAAGCCTAAAATGCTTACTATCTGGCCCTTTACAGGAAAGATTTGCCAAGCCATGTTATGGAACACTGTTCCATTTAGCTGGTTTTCTGTTTTACAGGTATAGGTTATACATAGTATTTTCTTGTATTTCCAGAATCTCTACATTTGGAGTTATGTCTTTTTTTTTTTTTTAATCCCTGGAACTACTTGTATCTCTTCTTTTTTCTCTCCATTGTTTGGGATTACTAAAATTTTGTCAGACTTACTTGTAACAGTGTTGGTGTTCCATCTTCTGCTGTGCTCAACAGTTTAAATAGCATTAGACTTAGAGTTCCATGTTTCTTAAAAGTATGCTAGTAAAAAAAAAAAAAACGTATGGCAATATTGATCAAACTGTCTGATCCTGATGGGTGATTTCATCAATTCCTCCATTTCTTCTATGCTAATTAATCTTTATTTTCTTGCCTCTTCTGGGGCCAGTGTTAAATCCTTCCTCCATCTTTTCAAATTATTTATAGAGTTGAACCTAAAGAAATATCTTAATTTTAAAAAATCATCTCATTTTTTTCCATTTTTGTTTTTTAAAAATTAGGTTAACTAGTTAATTTTTTTCATAAAGTCATGCCTTGGAGTTATTAGTTTACCTCTAAAGTCATTGATTGCTACTTTTATCTTCACTGATTCCTTCTTCTGCTTCCTTTAGTTCATTTTTTAACTTGAGTAAGATGCTTTATATTCATTCTTGTTTGTTGAAAATAATTAAGACTAGGAATTTTTCCCTTACTGCTGGTTTAGTCATATCTTAAAACTTATTATGTGTATTGTTTTCACTGGGACTTTCTTGATAACCCTGCAGTTCTGGTATTTCTTCTTCAACTCAATACTTAAGGCATTTTTATTTGCTGGTTTTGTTGTTTCTAATGTGATTGCATTGTAATTCAGAAATACCATCTGTATTATTTGTACTTTTTGTAATTTAGTGATGTTTTCTATAGTGCTGTATGGTGTGTGTGTGTGTGTGTGTGTGTGTGTGTGTGTGTGTACACATACGTACTTTCTATGACTATTCCATGGGTATTTGTCAAAAAAGGTGTTACCTGTTTTTAAGGTAGGTGGTTTTGCTTTTTTTTCCTTCAGTTTTTCTGTCTCCATTTGATTTACATTTGATACTAAAGTTCAGTACATAGGATTCTTAGCTGTTTATATCTCTTTAGTTGGTTTCTTTTATCAGTATGAGATATCTCATTCTTTATGATGCTTTTCTGATTGAAATTTTTAAACCTGACATTAATGTTGCTTTTATTTAAATTTTGTTAGCATTTTTGGTCCTATATCTGTCTTTGTACTCCCCCCCCAACTTCCTGTATTGTTTTATTTCAGGACTGATTTTTGCAAAGTATTCCTTAAGTTTTTATTTTCTTAACAAACTAAAGACCCTTTATTAACAAGTGAATTTAACTCATTCATATTTATTTTGATTACAGATCTTTGGGGCCCTATGCTGCGCATCTTCTTCTGTATTTCTTATTAACTGCAGTTCTGGAATAATTCTTTTATTGCCTTTTCTGTGTCTGTTGAATGGATCAGGTTTTCTTGTTTCTCATTTTTTTCCCTCTTTCCGGTGGTTTGGGTATTTACTGACATAATTAACGTAAATTTTAACTGCACATACACAATAGCCAAAATTACTCAGTAATTATATCTGTTACCCAGCAACCCCATCCTTACCTCCCTACCTACATACACACACTGTTAACTTCTCCTTTATTCTTCTAGTATGTTTCATGTTTACATCTGAGATTTCACTTCAGATTATTTAGTTCAGTTTTATAATCAATAGTTACATTGTCTTAATGTTTTTACTGGTTTTGGTGAAATTTTCTGGCCCTAGAAATGAGGCCCTATCTCAGCCTTACTTTCCCGGTGACACTTCATCGATAAGTACAGCAGCTCTCTGAATTTGAGGTAGGGATGGGGCTGCTACATGACAGACGTAAATCCTGCTTCTGAATTCGTGGTCCTTTTTAATGGAGTGTTGAGGTTCTTGTACATTCTTCGTGTAGGCCCTTCACAGTGTTTGCCTGTAGGTTATCTTCTAGTTCCTTGAATGTATTAAAGAGCATGTTCCTGTTGCATCTCATATAAATATCTTGTTTGGGTTTTAAATTGTTAAAATCTTTTCCTGTTAGTAATAAAGTGGCAGGCAAGCCTGTATTTTAGTACTGGATAGTATTATAAGTGTTACAAGGTTACATTCAGTTGCAAAATACCAAGCTGAGCCTGGTACTAAACACATAAAGGCTGAGTTCGAGTTTTTGTGTTCTCTGTGATTTCATAGTTACATGTACTTTATCTTTTTGTTTGTTTCAGAGGTACTTTAGAATATTCTAGTACCTTACTTTCCTTGTGACAAAGGAATATACATTATTGGTACTTTCTGGAAGCATTAAATTGTCTGGGAGACAAAAGTTTCACACATAAAGTAATTAGACCTAGAATGTACTTGACTCAAATTCTTAATGTGAGGCTTTTCAGTTGCCTTCAGGAGGAATGAAAAGACTCCAAGCCACAGATAGAATGCTTGTGAGTTTTCAGTGCAGGTCCTTCTGAATGACAGTTTGCTTGTATTACTTCAGAAAAATCAGTCATATTTGAAAAAGGCTAGATCATGTATAAAAAATATATTAGCATGAGTGATCTAGGCTGAGTCCACCAGTGGCTCAGAGAGAAGGCCATAGTGAGGCCAGACTGCTAAATGAAGGAGACTCTGGGGGCGAGGTGCTGGGGGAGAGGAGAGGTGACATGGGGTTCGGGTGGCTTACTGGAAACCATACTGGTGACCTCTTTGCTTCAGCATCATGCACATTGTAGGCATTGGACAAATATTGCCTTTATTTGGCTCACGGAAGAGCTTCTGTTTACTTAGTTTTTACAGTGTACTGGGTACTAGACCAGGCCTGCCTGTACTGGGCAGGCAAGGAGAAGGACGCAGAGATAACCCAGTTCTGGGGTGGGCTATTCAAATTTCAGGCCTGGAGCTCTCAACCCTTGAGCAGTGCTTTCTCCGAGTGTCCTCACTGGTCACATGGAGACATTGCACTTATTTATCTGACAGTGGCATCTGTAAAGATGCATCAAACTCACAGAAACGTTCAACTGTTAACAAAAGTGTAAGGTGGTATTGTGCCAATCATTAAAAAATACCCACTATTTGTATAGCCTTGTATTTGGTGCTCTGTAAGCGGTAACATACTTAGCTTTAGGGTAGCCCTGCAAGGTATAGGTTTTATCCCCATCCTACAGAGGAGACCATAGGCTCAGTCAGGTATACACACCTTGCCCAAAGACACAAAGTTTAGTAAAGGCAGCACTGGGATTAAAACCTGGGTCCATCCGGCACCAAAAGTTCATACACCATGCTGCCTCTCTGTAGTTTCAGAGATTGGGTATATCTTCACCAGTTTAAGGCATTTCTATCAGTTTATTTATTTAATCTCTTTTAAGAGTCTAGAAATCCACTTTATAACTTCACATTGTTCATAAGTAGACAAATGGCTATTTCAGATTTGCTTAAGACAGGGTATCTAGGTTATTTCTCCAGCTTTGATTAGTTTCATAGATTTCGCTCTGTAATATTTGTGTTGACTTCTGCATTCTGAGTTTGTCCTGTTTGATCCAGACGTTACATTTTAACAACAAAAAATGCTGCTAACTTTGCTTTTTTGTAAAGAAACAGATTGTTTTCTACTCTTTCTATCTGTTCTTGTGTTACGTTTCAAAGATGAAGAATAGAGACCAAACACATTAAAAATGAGGCAGATTAAGAATAGTTTCCAGGCAATTGAGGATTCTTTTAGGATGACCAAAACTTGATTCGCCACTTTTGCTCTTTGAGCTGTTGTGAGTTCCATAGTTGTAGAACCAGTGCTTGTTCTTTGATTAGAATAACACGGGCCAGAGCTGGTGAGCAGGAGGTGCCACCCAGGCCAGGGGATGCCACTGGCATCCGTGCCCTTGTTGGAGGGGTCGTTGCCGAAGTAAAATTGGACTCTCCCGAGACAATCTGAGCCTGTGAATGAGGGTATCCTCGCACTCTTGAACTTTCTGTTCCTTTAGGGTTGTTTTTCTTAGTGCCTTTTTACTTAGATGGCTTACTGTGGAGGTACACTTTACTGGCTAATCTTTTCCACCCCTTTTCTTTTGTTGGGATTAGTGCCAGAACAGATAAAGCCCAGTGTAAGCCAGCCTCAGCCTGCCAACTCTAATAACGGCACTTCCACAGCAACCAGCACTAATAATAATGCCAAGCGAGCCACAGCCAACAATCCGCAGCAGCCACAGCCGCAGCCACAGCCGCCACAGCAGCCGCAGCCACAGCAGCCGCAGCCACAGCCGCCACAGCCACAGCCGCCACAGCAGCCGCCGCAGCCAGCACAGGCCTTGCCTCGGTATCCTCGAGAAGTGCCACCACGATTTCGCCACCAGGAACACAAACAGCTTCTAAAGCGGGGTCAGCATTTTCCTGTCATAGCAGCAAACCTGGGATCTGCTGTTAAAGTGTTAAGCAGCCAGTCAGAAAGCAGTGCTTTAACAAATCAACAGCCACAAAATAACGGAGAGGTGCAGAACAGCAAAAACCAGTCAGGTGAGAGAAGGCCTTTCTTACCAGACTCCAACCGTCCTCATTAGCAGTGCAGCAGGGTGACACATTCATGGCTTGTCGGGGATCTGTCTGTGTCCGTCAGTATCTGCGTTGCAAAGTAAGAGTTCCGTGCAGGGAGTTACAAATGGAGAATCCTAAAAGGTGCCCTGTAAGCTGACTGCCCATCCTACTTTTTAAATGATTGTTTTAATCACCTTCTCTCCAGGTTCTACCCATTTTTATAAGCAGCTTATAGCTTAAATCGATAAGACTACAGCTAAAATTGAGCACACACCCCCCCCATAAGCATATGTCCTAAACTGTGGTACATATCATTGCAATGAATCCTCAACAGCCCTGTGAGGCCTAAGTTATTCTTATCCTCACTTTTCAGTAGAGGAAACTGAGGCACCAAGACTTTCAATCATTTGCCCCATGGTCGCTCGGTTACCCTGTGCCCAAGAAAGACTGCCGCAGGTGGAAATGGTATTCAGACAGCACGTGCATTCAGTGATGGCCACAGAAGGGCCTTTCTGAGCTCCGTAATGATGGGGAGGCAGAAAATGTATGTGATTACGGTTTTCTCAAAGGCCAGTTTGTTTCAGTATGTTCTGAAAGGCTCTGACGGTTTGTTTGTCTGTTCTTTCTCAAACTGTTTCGAAGCATTTACTACAAGCCAGATAGAGAATTGAGGAGAATCAAGGTTCCCACGCATGAAAACACTTGCATATACTGGTTAAGAACAAAGTCTCTAGAGCCAAATGGACTAGGTGTTTAAATCCTAGCTTCACACACACCAGCGTTTGTGACCTTGGTCACAACTTAATTGCTTCATTGCTCCATGGGTCTGCGTCTCATCTGAGCAGCCATTGCTCACCGTCCCAGCAGGAGTTACGCTCTATCTCTGTGCTCTCTCCTCTGTATCAGGAACTCCTCTGTCCATTCTGTTATGGTACTGCACAGCAGCTAAGCAGCAGAGCTGGCGTTGATCAAGATCCGCCTGACTCCAAAGCTGTGCTTGTAACAGCCTTGCTGTACTTTGGCAGCACACTGGATGTGGTAGGTAAGGACGGAGAGGACACAAATGTGATTTTTCCAGCATAGGTAATTAGAGCAGCACATTATTATTGGAAAGGATACAAACTTAGACTATGACCCTGAGTTAGTACTACCCCCATAGCCACTTACTGCCTTATGTGGGCTTGGCCAAATCACTTAACTTACCTCAATCCTCTCCTAAGCTGTAAAGTATGGACATTAGTGCCCAACCTATATGGTTGCTTTGAGTATTAAATTTTTTTAAAATTTTTATTGTTATGTTAATCACCATACACTACATCATTAGTTCTTGATGTAGTGTTCCATGATTCATTGTTTGTGCATAACACCCAGTGCTCCACGCAGAACGTGCCCTCCTTAATACCCATCACCAGGCTAGCCCATCCCCCCACCCCCTCCCCTCTAGAACCCTCAGTTTGTTTTTCAGAGTCCATCGTCTTTTGAGTATTAAATTATGCGATGGGTTTAAGCGCATAGCTTAGCACCTGATATTTAGGTACTGAATGAATTATCTTCCCTCAAACATTTACAGAAGGACCCATACTTTTCAGGAAGAGTCTGATTTAGACATATGACATGTAACACCAAGCAGTTAATTTGGCTTGACGTTCATCTGAGAAATGAGATTGAAAGCAGATACAGTTGGTCATCAGTATGTTTTTTAAAAATGTGATCAAAGCCTGAGGAGAGGTTACTCGCACAGCGAATGCTTGAGTACCTATAACAAGCTAAACAATGGTGGTATCACACTTAACAAAATGAACAAGGAAGTGGGCTTAAATTTAGAAAATGGTATGTTGGGTACCATTTTCAAAATTTGGAAGATGAAAGAACAAAGCTGTTTTTGAAATGGAAACAGTAGGAATGTAAGGTTTCTCACAAACGGGTATGGGTCAGAATCCCAAAAGTATTACAGATACGCATTCAAATGAAAGGAAGACCTATGTGAGCATAGGCAGAAGTCTTCAACAAAGGCTGAGAAGGACAATTCTCTTGTTTCGCAGAGGACTTTACGAGGGGGCACTGCATTCATGTGGAGGTGGGGATAGAAGCCAGGAGGGTGCAGCAGTCTCTGGCTGAGGTCTGGAATTGATGTGGATGATGAAGGCAGAGCACTCTGCAAGAAAACCTTATTTGTGCTTTTGTCTTTTTTAAAAAGCATTTGTGAATCCCCACTTACCAGCATATGTCATTTTAATTTACATTAAAATATCTGTGTAGGTGCTACGAGGAGTAGCAACCTGAGCCACATAAGAGGCCATCAGGTATCTGAACTAGGGAGGGCTTCTTAGACTGTTAGGTCTGCCCTGGCCTCTGAGGTTATTTACAATGCTAAGGATCATACTGACCCGGTGACTAACCCTGATGGGGTGTTCGCTACAGCACACACACTATGTTAACATTCAGTCCTCACCTTACAGATTAGAGATCAGTGAAGAGCAATGTCGTGCACATTATAAACAGCATCAGCGATAGTCCGGAAACACAAAAGTTGTGTGTTGTGAATCATAGGTAGTTCAGAACTGTGCAAACATAATCTTAACTGCTTTTGTTTTTGTATTTGTGTTTCACTTTTCTGTTTCCTGAGCAAACACAGTTAATGGAATAAGTTTGATGGGTAGGTCAGTACATACAATAAATACATACACAGATATTTACTTAAGTTTTCGTGATAAAAGTGAGGGATGCAGTGCTGGATACACCTTCCTTGTCCTCACATATTCAGTTCTTGTTCATTCCATGCAGTCAGAGAGCAGGGATAGTCCTTAGGTGGGAGTAGGTACTTTATAAATCAATCTGAGGTCCTAAGCTAAGCACCTTCGCAGGCTAGCAGGTAAGTGAAGTAGAAGATGAAAAAGAGTGATGGGAACAGGGGTAAAGACACTGACTTTGTACCCCACCCGAATACCTTTACACACCTTTAGAGCCCTACTCTGGTCAAACCACACAGCGCTGCGGGCTCAGCTGCTGGTTTGTGGCTAGACCTCAGACACTTGGTGATGCTTTCAGTCAACATCAAGACTTCTCCTGGGCAGTTGATTTCTTAGAGCCTTAAGATGTTGGGCTCTGCTACTGCCCAAATAACTCTTCAAGCTGGGGGGACTTACAGGGCTTCATGTAATACAGGATCTGGGAGGGAGGGACTCATACACCTAACAGGGCTGGCGGCAATTGTACTTATGGTCCAGAGTGGCCCAACCCACATTTTATCATTCAACTGACATGTACCGTAAAGCTAAAAGAGTAGAGAAGCAAATACCCATGTCCCCTGCACCCAGATCCAGCAGTTAATGTTTTCACATGCATACCTCCTTCCCACTCCTTCCTTCATCTTCCTTGTCGACCGGACGTGTGCACCTTCCCCATCGTATGTACATATATATGCACATTCATTATACTTCACCTTTAATACTTCCACAGGAAATTCCCTAAGAGTAAGGATAGTCTCCTATACAACCATGATACCACGATCCACCTTAGGCAAAAGGGGAGACACATTCAGCAAATCCTGTAATAGGTAGTTTGTGTTCACGTTTCCACTGGTTGTCCCAAGAATGTCATTGTTTGTTTCTAGTATGATACCATTTATATAAAATACAAAGCTTTCATATTGCTTAGGGATGAGTTCAGATTTTGAGTGGTTACCATTCAGTGACCCACTGGGGAAGGACGGGAATGTGGTCAGAGAAGGGGTACACAGGAGTTTTCTTTAGAAGTTAGTGTAGTAAGGGGAGGAGTATGTGGGTGTTGTCTGTATCACTCTTCATAGCCTTTAGTACGTTTGAATTTTTCTTTTTAAACAACCTTGAGGACATTTGAGCTATATTGGTGAGCGACCAGGAAATGGGGCCGTTTTAATGAAAAGAAATGTTAATGTTAAAGTTCCCAGAGACATGTAACGATGAAAATACCGTCCATGTGCCTCTGCTCTTCACTGTCTTTTCACTGATGCCCTCCATCCTTCTTGTCCTGGAACTTCTGCTGCTTTCTCTCTACTTGGACCTCTTCCCCCTTAGTTACATTTGTATCATTAAAAAAATTGAACCCCCGGTCTCTTGAGGACGTTACACACTTTCTCTCCTCCCCCTTCTTACAGAATAGTCTATGTTTGCAGTCTCTAATACATGACTTCAGTCCTCTGTAGTCTGGCTCCTTCCCACTTGACTAAAATAGCTCTTACTAAGGCCATTGGTTTTCTGAATGTCAAATCCAGGCTTACTGATTTTCAGTTGGAGCTGTGGTAAAAACAGCCTTTTCCACTTTCATCTTAATAGACACATTTTTTTGTTGTTGTTGATCACTTCCTCTTCCTTAAAGCTCTTTCATTCTTGCTCTCTTCTTCGACCAGTTTTCAGATTTTATTCCCTCCCATGACTTTGCTTCGGATCTCTCCTGAGTGTTAGATTCATGCCTTCTGGATGTCTTCAGCTGATGCCGGGCCCCTCAAACTCCACACATCCAAAATTGAACTCCTTGTCTTGCCGCATACCAGTGTCATTTGCCGAGTTCTCTTGCTCAGAAGGTTGGCACATCCAGTCACCACCCACCTAGAAATCTTAAAATCATGTTTGGCCATCTCCATGTCTCATAGGCCACTGGTTTCCCATGTCCTGCCGATTCCAACTCCAAAACACCTCTCCGCTCTCCTCTCTTGTGGGCACGGCCGTCACCATGGACCTGACCCCGTGGAGGGCCTCGCCGTCAGGTCTGGAGGGGCAGCCCCTAGATTGTCTTTTATGGCTGTCTCCCCTCCACCCTCACCTCATCTCTCAGACCAGAGACCAGTCCTGATCCATGCCTTGCATTTGGTTGGGAGTATTGCTTTTGTCGTCTTTAGAACAGAGGGTGGCTTGCAGCCCATTTCGGTCTGGTTTTATTGGAAGGCTGCCATGCCCACTCATTTACATGTTGTCTCCGAGTGGCCGTGGCCGCAGTGGCAGACTGGTTGCCGCAGACACCGCTCTGGCTGGCAAAACTGAAAGTATTCACTAATTGGGCCTTTACAGAAAAAGTTTGCCAGCCCCTGGACTAGAGGCCAGAATACTGAAAGAAACATTTTGACCTTTGTCACTGAGTGCTGTTTGAAATGGTGCCTGCCAGGTTCTCTCATATTCCCAAGTGATACTATGTCATACTTCCCAGAAATACTCTAAAACCAGAGTACATTTACTTCTGAAGACTTTGCCCTTCTGGTGAGAATGAAAAGTCTTTAAGGCAGAAGGCACATGTTTAACTATTTTGTTTGTTACATGCTGTATATTTAATAAGAAAAATAAATTATTTTTTCTGGACCTAAATTCTTCCTGAGCAGATTATTGTTTTCTTACAAATCACTTGAATCATCGCCAGTCTTTGCTCTGCCTCCACATAATCCCCTTTGATCTTTGGGAATAGGTGCTATGAGATGCACTATTCTTTCGGAGGTGTGGTGCTCGAGTTGCCCCCAGTTCTCATAAGGTAATTTTGTGTGAGAATAGGAGCTGATGGTATTATTTTGGATTTCCAGTGTTCTTTAGTAAGGCATAATCTTCCAAATCTTCATTTGCCTACATCAGTGCAGTGTGTGAAAATTTGTATTTTGCACCATGCTCAGTAAAACTCAGCTGCCCCCTTTCCTCCCACCAGCTTGGGGCCTCACAGTCTTACTGTTTCTCACTGTTCCCTGGAAAAACCTAACAGGATTGTTAATTATGTTCCTCTGTGTTTATCCTCTGGATCATTTGTGATGATGGGTTTTGGCTTCCTGTCTGTAAAGGAAACACTAAAATTTTCACCTCTCCCCAATCTGAAAGAGTCTCTGTCTCTGTGAAACATTTTAGTTGAGATTGCTGAGGAGTCTTTTTTTCAAAGCTTTAGTTAGACTGGGATCTCCCCACCTCTGTCTGAGCTACACGTTTTTCATAACCAAAAGATCCTTGGTGAATGCAGTTTTTGATATAGCCTTTTAATTTGGGGTTTTTTGAAAGTAGCAAGTAGTTTTTAGATTAAAAATGAAATTAAAAATTTTTTTTTTTATAAAATGAAATTTTAGCTAGTAAATGCTGATGGTGTCTCTCATTTTCTGAAAATACGTAAGGATATATAGCAAAAGACAAATTTAGACCATGCCCCGCCCCCATCCAAACCAGGTCATGACCAGATTCTGAGAGAAATTTTTACTAACATTAAAGGTGGTAGAGTTTGGTTTGCAAAATGGATCCTGCTATTTGCTGGGGGGTTTTTTTGTTTGTTTCCTTGCTTGCTTTTGATGTATTCTGACATAAAATGACTTCACATTTTGGGTAAGTAGTCAAATCTGTGTCATTTCTCTTGTGGTGTCTTTGCTTTTATGTATAAAATATTCTCATTCACTGGTAACTTCATGGTAACACATTAATCAGACGAAATTATTTTTGATTGTCTGATTTTAAGAAATCTTTTTAAAGTACCAAATATTCCTTTTCTCCTGATTTAAAATACTAACATTTGACAAACACTTGGGTCTGTCCCTGGCTTCCTGGTGCCGTTCAGCTGAAGCTTAGCTGCTCAGCTGGTGTGGCGCTCGTTAGCTGTCGCGTGACCCTGCGGCGCCCCCTGCCCCCCATCCCGCTACTGAGATTCTCTTTCTCATTCTGTCATGTTTTATGTGAATTTTTAAATCACTTTAACCAAGTTGCAGACTCTTGTTAGCGATTTCTTATAATTGAATTATACTTTAAGAAAGAATATTATTCTTTCTTCCTATCCAGGAACAAGTTTCTGTACTTAATCAAGTTGTCTTCTGTGGCCTGCAATAAAACTTAATTATATATGACTTTACATATTTCTGTTAGCTTTATTCCAAGTTGCTTTATAGTTTTTGTGGCTGTTGGGATCTTTTCTCGGTCACATTTTCTCGTCGACTACTTCTGGTATATAGGAAAACTACTGCTTGCTTTTTACATGTTAATCTGTTGTGTTTCTTTTCCACTATCCTTCCCTTTTTTCTGGGTCCCCTTTCATCGGTCAGTACTTCCAGCAGAAGGCTGAGTATTAGTGTTGAGGACAAGGACCCTGCCTTTTCCCTGTCGGGATGAGAATGCTTCTGCTGTTTCGCTGTTAAATTCCGGGTTTTGTGTTCAGCCTAGGTCGTTTTGTCTGATGTTCCCAATCTTGCTTTCTTACTCCTGCTGGGTGGAAGTGGCAAGAAACACTGGCATGTGTGAGAAAAAAAATTGTGGCAACAGGTACTTTTACTCACATCTTTGAGGTGATGATATGGTGATGGTGGCTTGACTGTTAGATCTGGAGAAAAGTGGATGAATTTGGGGCTTGGTGGTGTTTGGGATTTGCCATGCACAGTAAGGTTTTAGGAAACTTACTGAGATGAAGAAAACCATAAAGAAACAGGATTTTTTTGGGTTGTGGGGGGAGAGGCATCTGTGGGGGAATAATCCAGGAATTAGTGTTCTGTTTGAGATCTTTAAGTAGAGACTTAATGTAAGCAAGTTGTATGATTTCTAATTTTGTTCTCCATGAGATAGACATGGTGGAGTGGAAAATGTGCTTTGGAGACAGGACTGAAATAATCAGCAGAGTCGTCAGTATGTATTAATTAGTGATAATAGCAGCCCTCATTTATTAAGTACCTAATTTGAATCAGATATGGTTCAGAGCATTTTTAATTATTAACCACTTAGTTTTCCAGCGACTGTTTCAGCCAGGTGCTATTATTGCTCCGCCTTTATAGATGAGGAAACTAAGGTACAGACAGATTGAGGATCTTGTGTGTGATCACACAAGGAAATGGCGGAGTGGCTTTGAAACGCAAGCAGTCTGGCTGCACAGTTGGGCTATTAATCACTGTACCAAACTGCCCCTTGCTTGCAGAGCCCTTCTTTGAAGCTGGCACTGAGCTAAATGCTTCACAAAGGATAGTATAGTTAACAGCTGGGTAAAGAGGTACTGTTTGTAGCCCTGTCTTGCAGATTTGGGCATACAACTGCTGCATAGAGACCAGACATGAATCTTGGTGTCTGTGAGAGTACCAGCCATGTTCTCAGTCACCTTGCTTTATTATCCAATGCTGAATCCTGCCTTCTTCGTGTGATTTGCTATAACTTAACCTCTGGGCCTCGATTTCCCCATCTACAAAGTGAAGGTAGTACATCTGTGCTCTAGGATTGTTCCAAGGAGTCAGTGACAAAAATCCATAGAAAACATGTGATCCATGATCTGTGCTGAATGATGTTGCTGGTGGTGCAGGTGCTGGTGTATTTGTTTGTTTTGACCCCGTGAGACAGACTATTCGGTATCCTGTGTTTCGTGAGAAGAACCTTCTCACGGGCACTGAAAGATGACACACTTCGTTTGGCAGCTTAAAACAATGATTCCCAAACAGGGAGTGGAGATCAGAGTCTCTTATGGAACTTTAAGATTCATGTATTTGGTGAATTATATATACACTTTTGGTCTCTCTCTAGTCCTTTTTTCTGCTATTCTTTCTAGCTCATAGTGTTTTGCTGCTTGACAATTGTGCTTTGCGAGAAAATGATGCGAGATGAACCTGATTTTCCATATTAGCAATATACCAGTAGTGAGTTACATTTGTTTTCTAGGCCTGCAATCCCTGGCAGTTGGTTCATTAGGTCTGGGATGTGACTTGAATGTGTGTGTTACTTAAAAGCACCACATAGGATTCTGAGTACTACTCTTATCAAGAACTACAATATAAGCCACCCCCTAAAGACAGTCTAAATGCAGACATCTTATGCAGGTTAATATCTCTGAGGAACTTTTAACTACCAGATCCTTAAACCAAATGACAGGAATGAATCTGGGGAAGTATTAGAAGCATGAGAACTGCCTGCCTCCTACCTGCAGGAAAACAACTAGATGATAATATATAGCGGTGAGTCCAAGATTATAGGATTCTGTGATTGGTCATTAATGGTGTTTAATGTCAGCACTTGATTTTTTAATTGTCATAATTCTCTGATCTCTTATAATACATGGCTGTGAAGGAGAATGCAACTAAAAATACTTGTGTGCAATAGTTCAGGTTGAATAAAAACACTAATGAAATGGAAATAAAATGGAAAAGGCTTTGTAGTTTTTATAAACTTGTTCTAATACCCAAAGAGTTGCGTGAAAAAGCTCCCCTGAGAAAGGGAAGACGGGAAAGGATTTCTGGTATGTTTCTAATACATGTAGTCAAGTTCGTCCTGTTCACTTGTCCTCATACATCTCCTTCCCAGCCCCTTCTGTCCCATGTCAGACCTCTAGGCTTGGGTTGCTTCATTATCCCAATACATTACTACCACCTAGTTCTTCTTCACACCAAAATTCTTTTACTTGCTGATAAATACCAGTTTGTTCATTCAGCAGTTATCTACTGAGAGGAGCTCTTATGTTCCAGGTACTGCCCTAGGCTCATAGGATAGCATCAGTGAACAAAGCACCAAAATACCCTGCCTGAGTGGAATTACTAATTGGATAAGAAAAGTTGGTGGCTGGGATATAACCAGTGCCCTTGTAACCATACTGCCAAGTTAATGTTGAGGAACCACATACGTTTATAACATTTATTGCCTTTTCAAACACTTCATAAGTTTTTGTACTTCTCCTTTATTCTAGATATAAACCACAATACTTCAGGATCCCATTATGAAAATTCGCAGCGGGGACCTGTGTCTTCTCCGAGTGACTCTAGCACAAATTGTAAGAATGCTGTTGTAAACGACTCCCCTGAAAAAGAAGCATGGCCCTCAGTCCCTGGCAGTGATCCAGAGTTGGCTTCAGAATGTATGGATGCTGATTCTGCCTCCAGTTCTGAATCAGAGAGAAACATCGCTATCATGGCTTCAGGAAGCACCGGTGGTGAAAAAGATGGCCTTCGGAATAGCACTGGACTTGGTTCCCAAAACAAGTTTGTGGTTGGTAGCAGCAGCAATAATGTGGGCCATGGAAGTAGTACTGGGCCATGGGGTTTTTCCCATGGAGCCATAATAAGCACATGTCAGGTCTCTGTGGATGCTCCTGAAAGCAAATCAGAAAGTAGCAACAATAGAATGAATGCTTGGGGCACTGTAAGTTCTTCATCAAATGGAGGGTTAAATCCAAGCACTTTGAATTCAGCTAGCAACCATGGTGCCTGGCCAGTATTAGACAACAACGGACTCGCCCTCAAAGGGCCTGTAGGGAGCGGTAGTTCTGGCATCAATATTCAGTGCAGTACCTTAGGCCAGATGCCTAACAATCAGAGTATTAACTCTAAAGTGGGTGGTTCTTCCACCCATGGTACCTGGGGAAGCCTTCAGGAAACTTGTGAATCTGAAGTAAGTGGTACACAGAAGGTTTCATTCAGTGGTCAACCTCAGAATATTACCACTGAGATGACTGGACCAAATAACACTACTAACTTTATGACCTCTAGTTTACCAAACTCCGGTTCAGTACAGAATAATGAACTGCCTAGTAATACAGGGGCCTGGCGTGTGAGCACAATGAATCATCCTCAGATACAGGCTCCGTCGGTTATGAATGGCACTTCCCTTTCTCACCTTAGCAATGGAGAGCCAAAAAGTGGAGGCTCTTATGGTACTACGTGGGGTGCCTATGGTTCTAATTACTCTGGAGACAAATGTTCGAGCCCTAACGGCCAAGCTAATGGTGACACTGTGAATGCAACTCTAATGCAGCCTGGCATAAATGGGCCTATGGGCACTAACTTTCAAGTGAACACAAATAAAGGAGGAGGCGTGTGGGAGTCTGGGGCAGCGAATTCCCAGAGTGCATCCTGGGGAAGTGGAAATGGCGCAAATTCTGGAGGAAGTCGACGAGGATGGGGAACTCCTGCACAAAACACTGGCACTAATGTACCCAGCGTGGAGTGGAACAAACTGCCTAGCAATCAGCATTCCAATGATAGTGCAAATGGCAATGGTAAGAAGTTTACAAACGGATGGAAGTCTACTGAGGAAGAGGATCAAGGTTCTGCCGCATCTCAGACAAATGAGCAGAACAGTGTGTGGGCCAAAACAGGAGGTACAGTGGAGAGTGAAGGTAGTACAGAAAGCACTGGACGCCTCGAGGAGAAAGCAACTGGGGAAAATCAGAGTAGAGACAGGAGAAAAATTGATCAGCACACATTACTCCAAAGCATCGTAAACAGAACTGACTTGGATCCACGTGTCCTCTCCAACTCTGGTTGGGGACAGACTCCTATTAAGCAGAATACTGCCTGGGATACAGAAACATCACCTAGAGGGGAAAGAAAGACTGACAATGGGACAGAGGCCTGGGGAAGCTCTGCAACACAGACTTTTAACTCAGGGGCATGTATAGATAAGACTAGCCCTACTAGTAATGATACCTCATCTGTATCGGGGTGGGGAGATCCCAAACCTGCTCTGAGGTGGGGAGATTCCAAAGGCTCAAGCTGCCAGGGGGGATGGGAAGATGACTCTGCTGCTACAGGAATGGTCAAGAGCAATCAGTGGGGGAACAGCAAAGAAGAGAAGTCCGCGTGGAATGATTCGCAAAAGAGCAAACAGGGATGGGGTGATGGACAAAAATCAAACCAAGGGTGGTCCGTTTCTGCCGGTGATAACTGGGGGGAAACTGCAAGGAGTAACCATTGGGGTGAGGCTAATAAGAAATCTAGCTCAGGAGGTAGTGACAGTGACAGGTCCGTTTCTGGTTGGAATGAACTTGGTAAAACTAGTTCCTTTACTTGGGGAAATAACATAAATCCAAATAATTCATCAGGATGGGATGAATCTTCTAAACCTAATCCTTCCCAGGGATGGGGAGATCCTCCAAAGTCTAATCAGTCTCTAGGTTGGGGAGATTCGTCAAAGCCAGTCAGCTCTCCAGACTGGAACAAGCAACAAGACATTGTCGGGTCTTGGGGAATCCCACCAGCTACAGGCAAACCCCCTGGTACAGGCTGGCTGGGAGGACCTATACCAGCCCCAGCAAAAGAAGAAGAGCCCACAGGCTGGGAGGAACCATCCCCAGAATCCATACGTCGCAAAATGGAGATTGATGACGGAACTTCAGCTTGGGGAGATCCGAGCAAATACAACTACAAAAATGTGAACATGTGGAACAAAAACGTCCCAAATGGCAGCAGCCGTTCAGACCAGCAAGCACAGGTACACCAGTTGCTACCATCTGCAAGTGCCATCTCAAACAAAGAGGCGGGCAGTGGCTCCGGTAAGTTTTCATTTAACGGAGTCCGACAGTGTTACAAGATACTTCACAGTGTTGTTAGCCTCGCTTCAGTGTACTGGTGCTGCTGTAAGATTTGTTTAACAGAGTATTTGGATATGGCACACAAAGGGCTTTTCCCCTCTGATCCAAGAGGAGCTTCTAGGGAAGAAAATAATAGGGCGTTTAACATCAGGGAACAGAGCTCTGCCTATAGCCGCATTGGTTGTGGGTCTCACATGCTCTGTTCTCTGCTAGGAAGACTTCAGAAGGCAGAGTTGGGAAAGTGATGTCAAGTAGGAATTCCCTACACTTCTCAGTTCTTCTGAGTCAGGCTGTTACTTTTTGGTTTTGTTATTTGATTACAGTGTCCCCAGAAATAAAACAAGCATCCAAGCATAATACTCTTTAAATACCAGGTGCTATATTTGGCCTTAGAAGGGATTTATTTAAGTAGGCATGAAATCCAAGTCTGTTAAGTTATACAGCGTGTATGTTTGTGTACTTAAAACATTTGGTAGTACCTTTCTGACATATTCCCACTCTCATAACGAGCTAATTCCTATCTGCAGATGATCTTGACAATGACATTTTCATTAAGTGTCATTGGAACACATTGTCTTTGTTAATGGACGTTTTATTGAGTAATAATCAGTCCCTTCAGAAGTAGCGTTAGGAGTGTTTTCATGAGCGAACCTTTCAGCATCCAGTTTTTTTCCCTCAAGTATAGTTTATTAATTTAGATTCAGTTCTTACAAGAAACAGGTTACGTATCTAAGGGAAAGGCTATTTTGGTTCTTTTGAACAATATTTATGGCTTTGCTTTGGACAACCTGATACCTCAGAATTTTTAAGAAGCATTGTCCAGGATGTATAAAAATAGGATGCCTAGGTATTTTTAGTCTTGTAGTTATTTTATCTTATTTTATTTTATTTTATTTTATTTTGCCCCAGAACAGTGATGTTGAAAGGTTGCACTTATGGTAAAAATTATATACACATACCGTTACCCAGCTTGATTACCTGCTTGGAATCAGTAGGTTTGGCTTAGAATGACTTGACTTTTCCAGGAATTAAATTCATCTTCAAAGGAGGATGACTTGCTATAATTAAGGTCATTCAAAACAATCTGCTCTACACCCAGAGGGCAATTATGAAAGAAGAGGTGGGGGAAAAAATTCACACCGTGTAGTTAAATTATGATAATGGGAAATGATTTGTCTTCTTTGCATAAAACAGATGCCATTGTTTTTGCCCATCGCAGCATCATTATTCGATCTGTGAATGTGAAGGTCTTCATCTTTGGTTCCCTAAGTATTCCTTATTGCCCCTGTTCCACCGCACCACCCTACCATGTGCTGATGACTTCTTTTCCCACACTTTCTAAAGGCTGGGGTGAGCCCTGGGGGGAGCCTTCTACTCCAGCCACAACTGTGGATAATGGTACTTCAGCATGGGGTAAACCCATAGACAGTGGTCCCAGCTGGGGGGAGCCTATTGCTACGGCATCCAACACATCCACGTGGGGCTCCAGCTCTGTTGGTCCTCAAGCATTAAGCAAATCTGGTAAGTTATTGATAATTCCTGGTAGCTATTTTGTCGCAGTGGTGGTCTCTCATTGTCTATAATTAAATAATCGGATAATGCTTATATCATTGATAAGTGTATCCGTGTCTCATCATACTAGATGATTTCACTATTTGCCTCTTTGAATTTGTAACTTGGTTTGCTCTTTTAGCTTTCTGAATTTTCTTGTCCTTACTTAGAATTGTGTTAACTAATAGGGATTTGCATGTACTTCACCAAATCTAAGTTATTATTTTACCAAATAAGATTACGTATTCAAGCAACTTTCATGTTACCCAGCATGAGAGACTGGATATATAATCGTGTGGACACATATCCAAACTGTCTGGCTCAGGTTCCAGATTACTCCCTGAATATTATACAGAAAATGAACAAAGTTCAGGAGGGACCTGATTCAGCATTTGGGTGAACGTTGTCACTATCCCATAAGTTGTGTGTGGGGTACCCCATAGGATCCTATTCCAAAGGCTGAGTCTAGAGTTGAGATACTCTCTGCTTATGACTTGCAGTACTTTGTGGCCATCCTCTTTGAAAATATATATCAAAATGAATTCTTTGAAATTTCCTCATTCCTCTTTGCCCTGTGTGTTGCTATGCAGATTATTAAATGAGTATGAATAAGAAGGCCACCATTGTTCCATGTTTAGGAGACTTCTGTTTGTAAAAAGCGTGGGAAATGTTTCATTGATTTTTTTTTTTTTTTTTTTTTAAGTAGGCTTCACACCCAGTGTGGAGCCCAATGCAGGGCTTGAACTCATGACCTGAGATCAAGACCTGAGCTGATATCAAGAGTTGGACACTTGCCTCACCGAGCCACCCAGGCACCTCTGAAATTTTTAATTTAAAAAAATTTCTTGCTTAGGCGTGCCTGGCCAGCTCAGTTGGTAGAGCAAGCGACTCTTGATCTCAGGGTCGTGGGTTCAGGGCCCATGTTGGGTGCAGAGATTACTTAAAAAAAAAAAAAAAAAAAAAAATCTTGCTTAGTGGAACCTTCAACTCAGTATAAAACATACATTTCTACCATGCAGATTTGGGAAGGGAAATAGGGGTTTTCTTAGGGTCCCACCCCCACCTGGCCCCCTTAATGAGTGCTCATCCTCCAGAAAGAATTGTTTGATTAAAGCGTGTTTCTCTTTATATCACAAATCCACGATCAGGGCCAAAATCTATGCAAGATGGCTGGTGTGGTGATGATATGCCATTGCCTGGAAGTCGCCCCACCGGCTGGGAAGAGGAAGAGGATGTAGAGATTGGAATGTGGAATAGTAATTCATCTCAAGAGCTTAACTCATCTTTAAATTGGCCACCATATACAAAGAAAATGTCATCGAAGGTAAACATTTCAAGGGCAAAGCCCTTGAAACTTTATTCCAAAGATAGTTCACCCTCAGAAAATTAATGTTCTTCCTGCCCATTTGTGGCAGTCAGTACAGTCCAGGCAGTCCCCAACTTAGGTATAGCCTCTTGTATGGGCAGCCACCTAGACAACCATAAGACCGCAGGAACTTCTTTGTCCCCACTGCTACAGCTTGGGATTTCTCTCCTCCTCCCCCTCCACCAGTGCTGGCTGGGACACCCGTCACCCCGGGGTGGTGCCTGCAGTGGTGGGGGTGAAGAGAAGGGCAAATCTCCTTGTTGACGCTTTCCATCCCCCTGCCAGTTCATCTCCCATCCCACCTCACTTGCAGTCCCCGACCTCCCCTTCCACCCAGAATCACCATCTTTCTTTTTCATCCCCCATCTGTAGCCCTTCCCCGCCTCCCCGCCCCGAAAGGTCCTATGACAAAAATCCCTAGGAATGAGCAGAGTTTGATTTTTCTCTTTCTTGTATGTGGACAAATCTTATTCGCAAACCTGTTGGTACATCAGAATCCTATGGCATCTGTTGCAAGTACAGCTTCCTGTACCCCAGGCCTACTATATAGTTTTGGAAATTGGACCCCAAATGTGTCTGATGTAGAGCCAGAGCTGAGAAGCACTGACGCAGACCACTGGTTCTTAAGAGGTGGTATTGGATGCTGGTGTCAGATTCTCTTGGGGACCATTTTCAAAATATGTGCCCAGACCCCTAGGTGGTTCTCCCCTCTCACCCTATTTGAGAACCAGTCCATCTCCACCCCACCCCCCACCCCTGTCCCCAGACCTTAGAGGTCAAATATCCAGGAGTTCCACTAGCTGCCCACCAGGGTCCCCCCGTTTTAATCCTTGGGTTCTCAGTCTAGGACCTACCATTTTCATTTAAAAAGATGTTTCATTTGGCTGAATTTGCCTATTGCCTCTCCATATAGCTTATGAAGTGCTTTCCCATATTTTACATAAGCCATTTGGTCCTCATGACCTTCTGAGGTAGAATACCGATGAGGAAATTGAGACCGGAAAAGGCGGTGACTTGCCCAAAGATGCATAACTAGTAAGTGACAGAGCAAGGACTTAAGTTTAGGTCTTCTGATTCCAAACCCTGTGTTCTTCCCACTGGACCATGCTGTTTTGTGACTTTGTCTTTCCTTACAGGGTCTGAGTGGCAAAAAAAGGAGAAGGGAAAGGGTGTGTAGCCTTTTTACTCTTTCTCCTTTGTTTCTGCTAGTAAAAATCTTTTAGAAAGCGACTGCAAACATTTATTTAGCTTCTGCTGTGTGCCAGGTACTGTGCTTGGTGCTGGGGGTTCAAAAACACTAGGAAATGAGCTGTACCCTCGAGGAGCTCGGAGTCTAGTGTGGGGCTGTAGGAGAGCACTGAAGAGTAGCCACTTGAGTTTGGAAGATGCCTGCGGGTGGGATGTGCCAGGGAAAATAGTAGTCTGATATACTAAAGTGTAGAATTTCTGGAAAGAGGTAACAAGAGATCTGGCTCAATAGTTAAATTAATGGCAGGTAGTAGAGTCTTTTCAATACCATGCCAAAGATAATTTGAACTTTATTCTGTATAAAATATGGAGCCAATGAAATTTCATAGAACGCAACTTGAGTTGGGTTTTTTAAGTTACTTTCTTTAAAGAAAGCTAACTGGTGATCCTATGAAAGATAATTGGCACAGAGGAGAGACCAGAGTTGGGGGATCCCAGTCAGGAAGCTTCTGGTGAGAAGTGAGGGCCTGAATTGGGAAGCCAGAGTGGATATGTAGTGCAAGGGACTGATCAGAGAGGCATTTCAGAATAGAAGGGACAGAAGGCCTTGGCAGCCATATAGGCATGGGGCGGGGTGGGGGCCAGAGGAATCAAGGAGGACTTCAGAAACCTTGGCAAGGGTTAGGTGCTTGCTTCAGAGACCTGCACTTTGGGGGGTGGGAGCGGGCAGTGTGAAGCTGTGTTCTGTCCCACGGTCAGAAGGAACAGGCGGTAGCAACGGGAAAGGGGAATTAAGGCGACAGACCGAGAATGGCTGGCCCCGTGGTCTTCGTATTCACAGGAGACCTTGGTCCCTGCGGCGTCCAGCCTCCCTGTCAGCCAGGCTCGTCGTCGTGGACCATATTCCCTCAAAGAGTGTCTCAAAGTCGTTTCTCTACTGCCCATGCCCAGCCAGCCATGGCAGCCAGCACCAAGTCGGGGAGTTGGAGGACCCCCAGCCTCAGCTGCCGCTGGGGTACTGTGTTCTCGGCAACACGAATTAAAATTTTAAAATAGCTTTTCATTTGGAAACATGTGGTGCTTTCTCAGTACAGTGCACATAGCATAATTAAATTCCGGGTCATGTTGGTTTCTTTGGGCTAACCTGTGGAACCTAACAACCACTTTTACTTTAGTGTGGTGTCAGAACCCCACAAATCCAGATTATAATTAAGCTCTTAGAACACAGTCCAGTTGTAAACTGGAGACTGTGATGAGCAGTTCTCCGCCCTTTGCTTCCGTCTTTTCCTTCTGACTGCTTGCCTTTAGAGATTTCTCTGTACGTTACAGCTATACCAGAGGACTGGAGCAAAGGAAGCTGAAAATCAAATAAGTTGATTTGTAATTGTTAACAACTCTGCTAAGAGTTGGTTGGAGGAGAAATTAATTGGCTAAAAATGAGAGTGGGGAATTGCCTTGAAGTTTTATTATTAATCCATCACTGTGCCCAGATCAATAGAGGCGGCCATGGTAGCTTTCTACTCTTTTGTTTTGCAAAGGGAACCATGAAAGGTGGAAACAAACAAGAAGAAGCATGGATAAATCCATTTGTTAAACAGTTTTCAAATATCAGTTTTTCGGTAAGTGTATTCTTCCTAGCAGCCCCCTCCCCTTTTAATGGTGGTCTGTAAATTTACCCTAAGTTCAGTTTTTTCTTTTCTTAACAAATTATTATTATCTTTCAATCCTTATGAATATGCTGGAGGTTAGAGTAAAATTGGCCACAAAGCCTTCTTTATTTTTATAGTTTTAGCTAAAAACGTTGATCATGTATCTTATTTTTAAAACTTTTTCTTGTTAGGCAGTGAAAAGAGTTTTGCAGTCCACTTGATTTTTGACAAATAATGAAATAAAGTAAAATTTTTCATTTTTAATTTATTTTCATTGATAAATTAAGGACTGCTAACACACTGTGTTTTCTTACTTCAGAGAGACTCACCAGAAGAAAATGTACAGAGCAATAAGATGGATCTTTCCGGAGGTAAGGAAAAGTTAAATCAGTTGGGGTTCGTATTCCTCATGGATGGACAAATGTATCTGTGACGTGTTGGTTCTAAGTGAGCACTGACGTGGACCAGGAGAGGGGAGATCTGGGTTCCTATCACAGCATTCCTGTGCTCTCAGCATACACTAGAGTGTGGTGGTGTATGAGTGGACTGCCTTCGAAGTACAAATCACTGTGCAGATCTAAGGTCGTGGTGATTTTAGTCTTTGATTACCTCGGATCTAGTCCTGTCAAGGAGGAGTTATTCAGGTTGGGTGATAAGAGTCTTAGTAATTTCGGAAACAGTAGGTGCAAAGGCCCAGATCATATGACAGAGACAGCTTGAACCGTGCTGGAGAAATGGAAGACGTTGCATGCAGTAGGAGAAGAAATGTAAATTGGTTGTGGTGGTGGGAGTGTGGTGAGGAGAGAAGCTTTGACTAGGGGAAGGTGCTGGAAAACGAGGCAGGTGCTGAATCATGAGGAGCTTTGGGGGGGGTTGAACTTCATTCTGAAAGTACGGGATTAAGTAATTTTAAGCAGGAGAATGACATTGGGATTTATGTTTTTTTAAAAAAATATGGCTACAGGTTGGAAAGATCCTAGGACAGAAGAGATTGGTGGCAGAAGACTGACAAAAAGATACTAAACATACCAAAAGCAGTTCGAGATTTGTTGCAGTAGCCAGTGAGGATTTCAGAGCTCTAAACTAAGATAGTAGTGGGAAGATTCTTAATTCAGTGGAGATGAGGGAATTAGAATCAACGAAAGTTGATAACCAGTCTGTACCAATTCATTATAGAGGTAGGGAAGTGGGTGTGGTAAAAGCTGATTTCCAGCTTTTTCTTTTCTTTTCTTTTCTTTTACGATTTTATTTATTTATTAGAAGGAGCAGGGGGAGGGGCAGAGGGGGAGATTTCCAGCTTTCTTGCCTGGACGCTTTAGTAGGTGGTAGTGTTATTCTTTTAGTCTGAGTCCAGGCAGGAGACTGAACTACACAGTGATTTGAACAGGAAGGTTTATTGATAGAAATATAAAGAATTACTAGCATAATAAAGGTTTGGCTAGTAAGAGGTAAAGAGACCACAAAAGAAGATAGGGTAGCGGAGGTAAGGAGAAGTCACTAACCTTAGGACAGAGCTAGTGTGCCCATGGAGGAGGGCGTCTGAGCCAGGGCTGAGGTCCAGACTCCTGGCCCTGGCCCTCTGCTCATCGCATGGCAGACATGTCACTGTGGTGCCACTGCATGGAACCGCAGGAGATCCGCCTTCTGGGGTGGTGTCTCACTTGAGCTCTGGTACAAAACCTCCAGAGCGGCTGCTGGGGGGGGCCGTGAGCCCGGCTAGGACCTGCGGCTGGGGCAGCTGCCTGTGCTGCAGGAGAGAGCACCCACACCTGGGAGACACTGTCTGTCTTCTGGCTGTGTCTCCTGCACCCTCTACCGTCAGCTGGCAAAGGGAAAAATATGTAAAGCATCCAGATCCGTTTTTTTTCAGGGCAGTGAGAGCTGAGAGGCAGTGGGTCGATGATTGGTACAGTTCACGCCACCCTCTGACTGCCCATCTTCTGCCTGCACTTTTGTTCCACTGTAGTGGCAAAGCGACTCTGTCTCTTTTCTTAGTGAGGTACAGCTTTCTTTCCTACAAGTGAGGAGGTCTGCCCTCTCACCAAACTGAGGAGACAGATATGGTCCCAACAGTCATTGCACTTATCATTGGCTATATTATTACTGCTCAAAGTCCGTCACAATTGAGACCGAAAGACTAAGTCGTAAAGTTAACTTTCAACAGCTTGTGAATAAAATAAAAATGGGGAAGAGAAGGAAGAAAGTGGTCAGCCTATACAGACAACCACGCTTCTGTAACGAGCCTTAGAAAGCATGCCGAGCGAGTCCTGCCCTCATTTCTATTGTGATCACAAGCTGTGCTTGGTGTCCATGGCTTCTTTCTTGCAGCACCCATTCCTAGTGCCCTACTCTCAGCCACACCTCAGCATCCTGGGTTCCTCTGCTGGTGGAGTGACCCAAACCTCTGTTCCCAGAGGGTCTGAGCCCTTTATTCATCTGCCTTTTCTTGATTGCTGTAGTTTTTCATTAACCTTTACTAGTGGGCCTGGAAATACTAAGGAGCCCCCCCCTCTGGCCCCCGGAGGAATCCCCCTGGGTTCCAGAGTCCTCGTGGCCTTCATTTTGTAATAGAAAACCCATGTCCCCTTGGGATGAGAATCAATCACTCCAGCCAGTAGACAAGCCCCTTTTTGCCTTGTGGTTCAGTGGCACAAAAGAAGGCAAAATGTCGAGGTGCAGTGTCCATCTTACAGTTCAGCAGCCCGATGTGTGTCCTGGTAGAAGCATTTTCTCTCTTGAGGATTAAGATCTCCAAACTTGCAGAGTTGCCAGACCAGGAAGCTAGAATTCTCTGAGTGGCTTATGAGGTATGATGGTGAGAGAAGCCACTCCAACTCCCACCATTTGATTCCCAGACCTCTTTATTCTGGTGATGTGGGAGACACTATGTCCTGTGAGACAGAAGCCTAGCCCACCCCCCTCTTTTTTTAAGATTTGTTTATTTGAGAGAGCGCACAGCAGGAGGGAGGGATGAGGGGAGAGAAAAACTCAAAAGCAGACTCCGCATGAGCACAGAACCCAACATGGGGCTCGATCTCACAAACCTGAGATCATGACCTGAGCCAAAACCAAGAGTCGGACGCCTAACCAACTGTGCCACCCAAGTGCCCATCCTTTAAGGATGTTGTCCCCTGACTTGCTTTATAACCAGTTCTACCTATTAGTTTGGCTAGCTACTTTTGGGTGATGATGTATGCGGTCGGACCAGTTGATCCCATGGGCATGATCCCATTACTGTTCTCCTTTTGCTGTGGAGTGAGTTCCTGGATCAGACACAGTTGCTGTGAGAATAAGGCCTTCTGCGAGACCATGGATGGCAGAAGTTTTACAGGCAGGAAAAGCAAATTCATATCCAAAATATGGGTCTATTCCTGTGAGGACAACACTCTGCCTCTTCCATGGCTCACTGAATGGCAGAAGTTGCTGTGCCGCTGTCCTGGTGGAACTTGCTGGAAATCTGCCCTCTAGGGTGCTGGGAAAAGCTGTTCATAGAGAGGTGTCTCACCGTTTGGAGGTATGTGGGAATGCTGGGAGACCTGGCCAGGGGGTGTTGCTGAGCACTCTGTACAGCCAGAGTGAGGCAGTGGAGAAGCTGCCAAGTGAGCACATTGAGCTTCCTCCTGCAGCAGCCCTCCAGCGCCCTCTACTGACAAAGCCTTGGTGCCAGGTGGCAAAAGAAAAATGTAAAGCGTCCAGATGTGCTTTCACTGAGCAGTCAAAAAGGGTGAATTTAGAGCTGAGAGACATTAAAGCAATCAATAAGTGGCCGTTATTAGAGATAAGAAATATATAGGAATAATAAGTTCGGTAGACAAGAAATTGAGTTTAAAGTTGCAGAGAAATCAAAATGAGAGTAATGGACAGAGGAAGACCCGAGAGAGGGGAAAATGTGAACCGGTCTGGTCTGCAGTTTCCTCATCTGCCAAATGGAGGTGATAATAGTAGCATTACCAGCATTAAATTCGAACACACATTTCGAACAGTGCCTGGCACATAGTGTGCATCTATCTGATGGTGATTTGTCTTGGCTGTTTTTGTTATTTGTAACTGGGAACTATGTTTTTATTATTATGTTAAGCAGATTAAAGATGACCAAAGAAGTCTTAACCATTTTATTACTGGTCTGTTTTCAAGTTGTTTTAGTAAAGTAACAGGATCTGCTAAACCCAACTTTACTTCTGAGGAATGCAAGATTTATTGAATGCATTTTTCACATGTTCTTGTCAAGGCAGAAGTCATCTCAGGGGGAGTGAATATTTTGCTTTCTGCTGTAAATTTATTTGAAGCCAATGAGATTGTCTTCCTACATGATAACATAGTGTCCTGCATTTCTTAGGAATGTTACAGGACAAACGAATGGAGATAGATAAACATAGCCTAAATATTGGTGATTACAATCGAACGGTCGGGAAAGGCCCTGGTTCTCGGCCTCAGATTTCCAAAGAGTCTTCCATGGAGCGCAGCCCTTACTTTGATAAGGTAAGTCATTTGTTTTGTTTTACCCCTGTGGCTGGTAAACCAGTACACTTAATAGCATAATTTTCTCATTAGTTGTCTAGGGCATTTAATATAAGGTACTGTAATCCGGTGCTATTACTGGATTTGTAGTTCATTCTCCTCTTTATGTTTCAGTTTAGCGTAGGGATTGCATTTGTATTTTCTTCTTAATCCCGCAAAATGTGTCTGGTTCTTTTTATGTACTCTAGAATTAACACTAATCTCTTCTGTTTTCTACCCGTTTCCTGTTGGTGCTGCAATGTCACGTGACTTCTCTTCTGTTCCTGCAATGATTTCTCCCTTCTGCTTGTTTGCTTGGCTGGTGTTGCACATCTTTCTGTCTGTCCACTCAGGATGGCATTGTAGCAGATGAATCCCAAAACATGCAGTTTATGTCCAGTCAAAGCATGAAGCTTCCCCCTTCAAATAGTGCACTACCTAACCAGGCCCTTGGCTCCATAGCAGGGCTGGGTATGCAAAACTTGAATTCTGTTAGACAGGTAAGTCCACGTGTGTATTTTAGGCTCTCTGTTGAATGATTTGTATAAGTAATGAAATCTCTCTTACATGTAGTTACTGTGTTTAAATCAATAAAACAGTGTGGTATTACGGTGTCTACCCCTAAAGAATCCCACTGGTATTCTGTCACTGTTTCTTGGTTTTGTAGAATGGCAATCCCAGTATGTTTGGTGTTGGAAACACAGCAGCACAACCCCGGGGCATGCAGCAGCCTCCAGCACAACCTCTTAGTTCATCTCAGCCTAATCTCCGTGCTCAAGTGCCTCCTCCATTACTCTCCCCTCAGGTAATCACTCCCGCCCTGCTCTCTTCTCTTGACTTGGAAAAATGTGGTATTTGAATGAGGTGGCTAATTGCTCATCCTTGTGTCTTTGAGATGCAGCTAATTCAGGATCAGCTGTCCTTACGGAAGGATGTGGGTAGGGTGAAGAAAATGAGTCCAAGTTAAATTACCTTCCGTAAAACATCTTAAGGGGAGGAGGACAGTAGCAAAGTAAATGGGCTGGTTTAAGATTCACCCCGTCATCTTTCAGTTAACCCCGGAAAGTATACATGAACAATAAAGCAGAGGAAGACAGAACATAAACCAGCCTTCCAAGTACTAGTCCAAAGATTTAATTGCTCTATTGACAGTTCAGAATACACTGTACATTTAGTTAGTTTTGAGTTATTTGATCAACATTATTAACTTGCCATTGTGATCCTAAGGTTCCAGTTTCATTGCTGAAGTATGCACCAAACAACGGTGGCCTGAATCCGCTCTTTGGCCCTCAACAGGTAGCCATGCTGAACCAGCTATCCCAACTAAACCAGCTTTCTCAGATCTCCCAGTTACAGGTAAGTAGAGTAACAGCCTTAGTCACTGTATGTGTATTGAGTGCCTACCGTGTGCAGGAAGTGTCGCAGCAAACAAAGCCAGTGCAGTCGCCCCCAGGGAGCTTACGGTCTGTGGGTGAGGACAGATGGTGAGCTTGAACGGCAGGATGCTCTGCGAGCACCCCCAGAGCACCCCTAGCCGGGTTGGGGAGGGCGGGGGGAGGGTGATCGGGGAAAATGTCCCTGATGAAGTGCAAGTTTAGATTGAACGAGAGACCGAATTGGACAAGGGCTTGAGTCAGGGAGGCCCAGGAAGAGGGGATGCCAGATGAGGTTGCGCCGTGGGTGCGTGCGTCCGCTGCAGTCACCTGAAGCGCGCAGCTCTGACGCCGCGACACTGACAGCCTTTTCGCCCTCTTCCCTCCAGCGATTGTTAGCGCAGCAGCAAAGGGCCCAAAGTCAGAGAAGCGTGCCTTCTGGGAACCGGCAGCAGCAAGACCAGCAGGTAGATGACATCCTTAACCGGAACTCAGTGCAGTGGAATTGTAACGCGAGATGCCTTTATTAAAATAGAATGAAATACGTGGTTTGTTAAGTCTCCTGTTTGCCCAGAAGTCGTATTAACTGGTATACGGTGACCGTGCGCCTTCCTGCCGAGGAGGAGGGGGTGAATTCGGCGGTGAGGGGGAATATGTGGCTGTCTGGGAAGCCTTGCTGTCCTCCAGGTTTCCCAATCATCTCACTGTTTCCAGGGTCGACCTCTTAGCGTGCAACAGCAAATGATGCAGCAGTCCCGGCAACTCGATCCCAGCCTGTTGGTGAAGCAGCAGACCCCGCCATCTCAGCAGCAGCCGCTCCATCAGCCAGCCATGAAATCTTTCCTCGAGAACGTCATGCCCCACACTACACCTGAGCTGCAAAAAGGGCCATCACCAATAAATGCTTTCAGCAACTTCCCAATAGGTGGGTTTCTCGTTGCCCTGAGCATTCAGCTGATGCTCAGGGGCCACAGGCTTGCTGGGTCTTCTCCCGGAGCAGCACAGTTCCGTCGCCTCGGGAAAACCACGCTGGCCCCAGGACCCGTTCCTCTCCCGAGAGCTGCCTTGCCTCCTGCAGGTTCAGCCCATCTTCTTGCTTAGGGGAAGGCCTCTCTCCGTGCAAGAAAATGACGCTGTTTCTAAAACTCTTTCACAGTGGGTTAGAATAAAGGTGAAGTTGCTCTTAAGCCCCAGGTAGCTTCATCGTCGGGTAGAAGGGGGAGGGTTATCAGAAACCACGTGCCAGAGACACCCTGAGCCACACTGCTCTGCAGGAGCAGCTGGGAACAGTCACTTCTGTGCTTTCGGAACCTGGAATTGTGATTCTCGCCTACATACTTAGGGATGGTCTTGGTTTGAGTGTAGAAAATCGAAGCGAGAGAAGGATTGCCTTGGTTGCCCCTGCAGTTGCTCCCTCTTCCCTTTATTCGTTCTGTCCCCAGGCTTTTATTCCTTCTGGAAATTTCAGGGCTGGATGTTTTCTCCTTCTTTGGGTCTCTTTTCTCTTTGTGCCTTTGATTCTCTTTTGAGCCTTGATTGTTCACACCCTCTTCATTTTGCTTTTTCTTTCTGTCTTTTCTCTTAATGGTATTTTCTTGTAAATCAGCTTGGTTGGTTACTGGCTCAACTGGGTCTAAGATGGTTAGTTAGCTCGCGTGTTCTGGGCTGTGGGCAGGGCCTGGGGCCTGCTCTTGCTTCACTCTGGCTGGACTGTACATGATTTGGCTCTCCCTGGTATTGCTGTGGACTCTCAGCTAGGACATAGGTTGCACTTGGAGTCCTTGGGATTGTTAGCAATCTCTCTGTGTTTCTAGAAGGCGTTCCCTTGTCAGTTACCACCGCAGGTGAGTACCTTAGAAGCCACTTGTTGGTTGGTGACCTGATGATCCCGGAGACAATAGAGTGGTGAAAGAATACTCAAGTACACTGAGACATTGTGATCTTACCAGTGAAGGGAAGTGACTCTTGCCTTTTGCATACTAGACATATAAATTAGGCCAGTGAGGAGATAAGTTTCTGACTAATGGGATTTCCTGTTCTGACTGGCTTTATAGCAAGAGATACTTCTTCCAGGGGTACCTGGGTGGCTCAGTCCAGCTCTTGGTTTTGGCTCAGGTCATGATCTCAGGGTGGTGAGATTGAGCCCCATGTCAGGCTCTGTGCTCAGCACGGAGTCTGCTTGGGATTCTTGCCCCCTCCCTTTCCCAACCCCCCCCACGTGTGTTCACATGTGCATGCATACGTGCCTGCTCTCTAAATCAATCAATATCTATCTTACAAAAAAAAAAAAACAAACTACTTCGTCCTGGTTAAGAAGTCTGCCAAACCCACACAAACGCATATGGTTGTCTAAATCAGGCATTGGCAAACTAGAGCCTGTTGACCAGATTTGGCCAGCTGCCTGGTTTTGTAAATAAAGTTTTATTGGTACACAGGCATGCTCTTTTGTTAATGTATTATTCTGTGGAGCTTTTTTGCTACAACAGAGTTGCATAGAGACACTGAGACTTTGTGGCCCACAGAGCCTGAGATAGTTACTGTCTGAACCTTCCCAGGTTCGCAGAAAAAAAATTTGCCAGGTCTTGGGTCTAGTTGAGGAGTGCAGAGAGCAGCAAATGTAATTGTTCTCCCCAAAAATGGGGATGATATTAGAGAATTCACATTGTTAAAGTTTTTAAGTTTGACTGACCTGATATCACATGGACTGTCATGAAACCCGAGTATTTAAAACCATTTGCTTTGAAATTTTAGAACAAGAACCACCTGACTGTGTGTTAAACAAAAATTCTGGTTCCCACTGAACTCTTTTTTTTTTTTAAACAAGCATCTCAGATGATTATCCTGGCTTAGCGGTCAGTTTTCTGACCAGAATATCTAAGATGGAAATTTCCATCCTTGTTCCAAGAGAATATCTGAATTTGATGTGTGTCATCAGCAAAGTTCAAGGAAATTGTGCCTTGAGAGTCTTCTCACCGTTAAGTATAATTGTTAGAGGAAGGTATTTTTACCTTTTTTTTTTTTAAGATTTTATTTATTTATTTGACAGAGAGATAGCAACAGCAGGAGCACAAGCAGGGGGAGTGGGAGAGGGAGAAGCAGGCTCCCCACAGAGCAGGGAGCCTGATGCGGGACTCGATCCCAGGACCCTGGGATCACGACCTGAGCCGAAGGCAGACGCCCAACGACTGAGCCACCCAGGCGCCCAAGACATTTTTACTTTAAAATGACAGTGTTTTTTGTCTGGCCAGCCAATTGAAAACTGTTGTTTACAAGCAAAAGATAGCAACTGAAAGTGATTATTAATATTTCTTCATGCGTGGTGCTCTTGGGGGAAAGCTAAAGAGATCTATTTTAGGGGCACCTGGTTGGCTCAGTTGGTTGAGTGTCTGACTCTTGGTTTTGGCTCAGGTCATGATCTCAGGGCTGTGAGATTGGGCCCTGTGTCGGTCTCCATGCTAGGCATGGAGCCTGCTTGAGATTCTCTCCCTCTCCCCCTGTCCCCCACCCCCCCGCCCCACCTACCCGCCCTCCCCCATGCACACACTCTCTTGCTCTAATACATAAATAAGTATTTTTTTAAATAAAAAAGATCTGTTTTATTGGAGATAAACTTTAAAATTGTCTCTTATCAAGGAATTTAAAAATAATCAAAATTATAAGGAGAAATAGTTTACCACAGTTGATGCAATTATGGTTTTAACAGTTTTATGGTTTGAAAACATTGGGTTACTGAATATTAGAATAGTTGTTTAGGATTTCTATTTGTTGCTCTCTCTGATAATGTAGCCATGGCTCTCTCTTGATGTTATTTCTGCACAGCTTTGGCCAGGGGCCCAGAGTGTCTGTTCTGCCTGCCTTGCCTTTGTCTGTAATCATTTGGCTGTGCCACATATGCAGGGTGGTATTTATTAAGGAACATTCACAGGATTGAAAACACATTAGTTACATGTACTTTTCTAGGAAATGGAAGTTGTGGTATCAGAAGGAAGGAGGAGGAAAGCAAAGCTATAATAGTAGGTGTGGAGCAGATCGCAGACAACTATATTTTATAAACTGGTTTTTCTGTTAAAGTATTGTTTTATTTTTAGGCTTGAACTCTAACTTGAATGTAAATATGGATATGAACAGTATTAAAGAGCCACAGTCAAGACTAAGGAAGTGGACTACAGTGGACAGCATTTCTGTGAACACATCTTTGGATCAAAACTCCAGCAAACATGGTAGGAAATACATTCTTGTATATTACACTTAAAAAAAAAAAAACCCTGTAGAATACTAAATTTAGGCCTTTGTTTTATTTTATTTATTATTTATTCATTTGGTTTTGGAGGGGGTGGTGGGGAGGGGCAGGAGAGAGAATTTTAAGCAGGCTTCACACCCCGTGCAGAGCCCGGCTCAGTCTCATGACTCTGAAATCATGAGTCGGATCCTTAACCGACTGAGCCACCCTGGCGCCCCTAGGCCTTTATTTTATTTTAAATGTCTTTTCATAGCCAAATCCTTAGAACCTTTCCTCATTATTAAAAAATGCTTTATTAGTTATTAAATCTTAGTTAAAATGAAAAAGCAAAATTAACCTTCATTACACTACTGCACAAAGTAGAGATTGAATATACATTTGTATTTTAAAAATTATTCCCCCTTTGATGGTCATTTAGGTTTTTGCAGTTGATTTTATTGTTCTGATGTTCTGCTTAACATTTACTCAATTTAGTATGATGGGGAGGGCATTAAAAACTCCAAGCATAATTTGATTTCTGCCAGTTTTTTGTATAATGGCACATTTTCTTCATACATTTTGTTGCTATGTATAAATCATGTAGGTTCAATATTATTGTTTTCTCATACGTTAATTTTTTTAGAAACCTTTCATCTTATTTAATATTATCAGTTCATCTAGCAGATGTTAGTGGAATATCGTCTTGCTTTCCAAGGACTGTGCTGGGCCACCTGGAATGCATAGATACATATGGGCATGCACACAGTCGAGCATATGTAAGCCAGGAACAATACCCTGAAGGAACTCATCTTTTGGTCGCAAAAATAAGCATGTGAACAGCTTTAGGTATGCTGTGATAGGTGCTATAAATGTGAATCCATATAATGGTACAAGTAGTGTGATAATGCGCAGTCCATTGGAAGATTGAGTCAGGAAATGAGGAACTGTGGGTGTGGTGGGTGTGGAAGCCTTTACCACACAAAGAAGTAGAGAAAGAATAACAAAAGAGTGTATAGCATTTGAAAAGTTCAAAAACAGCACAGCCTGGTGGGTTCTGTTGTGTGGGCCGATCACGGAGGTGAAGGGGCAAAGAGGAAGGAGGAGGAAGGCAAAGCTACCATAGTAGGTGTGGAGCAAATCGCAGACAACTTTATGCCATAAATCATTTAAAATTTGAAAGTGGTGGTTATCCAGAGGCACAAAAGACTCAAAGCAGTGTGAGACAGAAGGCAGTGGACATGGAGGGAGTGCATCAGAAAGAGTCTTAGGATTAAGGACAGGAGGGCTGGGTAAGTAATCTAACTCTTTGGGTGAACACATGATCATTCGTGATGAACCTGCGCTCGCGTGGTTGCTCCATTGAGCACACTGTGGCACTGTGAGCATTCTCGGGGTGGGGAGTGTGCGAGCTCGGGAGTGCAGGTAATGGTGGTAGAAATAGGGGAATCAAAGCAGGCGTGGCGGGACAGATACTGAATTGGTTTTAGGCTTGTTGAGTGAAGTATTTTGGGGATGGCACAACATGGAAAAGACCAGTAAGACATTAGGAATAGAGGCCAGCACTCAGAAGAAAAAGCTGAGCGTAGAATAAGGTTTGGTATTCATCAGAATGTTGAGGTCATGGACATAGGTGAGGTTGCCCAGAGGGACAGAGCCTGGAAAAGAAGAAGGACCGCATCCCGGAGCTGCTAGTGGTGAAAGGAGTGTCTGGAGAGGTCAGATGTGGAGGGCTAAGAAAATGCTTCTACCATGTGGTTTTCTGTCTGCTCGAGTTAAAATGGATGTTTCTGTGTCTGCCTTGCTTATCTGAGCCTCAGTTTCTTTGTAAAAATGACCTACCTCTTCCCTTCCTTGCACTGCTGTGGCAGGTGGACCGTCCCTCATACGTTCTCTGGTGTTTGGCGTCCTGGCAGATGATGTGTGTCATACACAAGGGGTTCTCGGGCAGCGTAGGTTTTGAAGTCAGATAACATCCCCATCCCCACTTAAAAAAGTCTTTTTTAAACTTAATATCGATCATTTTTTCACTGCGTTTTATTGCATACACTGTTTTCTTTTGCACAGATCTGTAGTGTGAGCAGTAAATTGTTTTTAGTAATTAGCTTAAACCTTAAATATCTTTATTCTTATATACATAGCAATCCAATGAATATTCTAGGAATGTTCTTCTCTTCAGAATAGGAAGGAAGAGGTCAATACTTTTTTTTTACTTCAGTCTAGATCCCTCCCATTCTTTTTTTTTCCCCCCTACTATTCTTCATGTACTTAATTTGACACTTGAAACTTAGTCATTCTTGGGCGCCTGGGCGGCTCAAGTCGGTTAAGTGTCTGCCTTCAGCTCAGGTCATGATCCCGGGGTTCTGGGATCGAGTCCCGCATCCAGCTCCCTGCTCAGCCAGGGAGCCTGCTTCTCCCTCTCCCTCTGCTGCTCCCCACTGCTTGTGCGCGCATGCTTGCTCGCTCTCTCTCTGCCAAATAAATATAAATAAAAAACCGAAAGAAACTTAGTCGTTTTTTCTCTTTGGTTTTTTTGTTTTTAAAGATTTTATTTACTTATTTGACAGAGAGAGACACAGCGAGAGAGGGAACACAAGCACGGGGAGTGGGAGAGGGCGAAGTAGGCTTCCTGCGGAGCCCGACGCGGGGCTTGATCCCAGGACCCCGGGATCATGACCTGAGCTGAAGGCAGACGCTTAACGACTGCACCCAGGTGCCCCTCTCTTTGTTTTTTAAAATTATTTTTCTGGGACACCTGGGTGACTCAGTTTAAGTGTCCAACTCCCGATTTTCGGCTCAGGTCATGATCTCAGGGTCGTGGGATTAAGCCCCACATCAGTCTCTGCACTCAGCGTGGGGTCTGCATGAGATCCTCTCTCTCACTGTCCTTCCCCCTGCTTGTGCTTGCTTGCTTGCTGCTCCTACTCTCACTTCCTCCCAGAAATGCTCCTTGATCAGTAGCTCCTCCTTCTCTTATTCTCTCTCTCTCCTGGCAGAGACTTAGAATCTTCTCAGGCACATTCTTTTTATTTGTTGGCTTTGTTTTCCCTTTTCCTTACATTAAAAAGAGAGAGAGAAATGTTGATCATCCTGTCCCTTATACTTTAGCATAGTTTCCCTTACAAAAATAAAATTCACATTTAGCTGTATTCAGGAGAGCTCCCAAAGCTGCCAGCCCACAGAACTGATGTTTTGTTAGACCCTCACTATTTTGAAAGTCATCTTTCTGAACCACCATCTATGTAAACATTGAGGAACTTTCATGCACAGATTCAGACTTCTGGCATCTCCTTGGAAATGCGGAGGTCTAGCAGCACCGAGCACCGAGCTCCGAAGCAGTAAGCACCCAGAGCGGAGCAGCTGCGGCCCGTGTGCCTGTGGCTCGTTGCCCCTCCCCGTTGTCTTCTCTACTCAACTCAGTGGTGGCGTCATTTGCCATTTGCCTCTGCACTTACTGGGGAGTGTGGTTTGTTTTGTTTCATTTCTCTTCTCACTCCCCTCACACCCGTTCCCTCCCCTGCACTGGTGGAGAGAGACTTTCTTATAGTCCCTAACCAGAGAAATATTTGCCTATAGTCATGCTTCTATTTGGGGAAGGACCATGGGATTTTGCCTGTAGCCAGCCTCCTTCACTTCTTTATAAACCCCAAGCGGCCTTGTTGGCATTTGCATTTCCCTGTTGTAGAGAAGAGGATCTGTTGTCCTCCAGCGTGGAGCAGTGTAGAGGTCATTGTCAGGAGGGGCGGTGTGATAGTGCTCTTCAGGCTCACATCAGACCTAAGCTGAGCCCAGGGAGGGGAGAGGACTACGGGGAAGGCCTCGGGCTGGCACTGACCACTTGCAGCACAGTCTTAGGTGGGTTCTCTTTTTATCACCATTTAGTGAAGCTTAGAGAGCTAGTAAGTTAATTGTGGAGCAGAGAAGAAAGGGCAAATGCAGGAGACCTTCTGTGTCAGAGGTTCCCAAGACCACTTTCAAGTTCAGTGATTTGCCAGAAGAATTGACAGAACTCAGAAAAGCTGTAATACTCATGGTTATGGTTTATTACAGCAAAAGAATCAGATGAAAATCAGCAGTGGAAAAAGGCACATAGGGCACAGTCCAGGAGAAGTTTCCTATTGTCCTCTCCCAGTGGAGTTTCACAGACCTAATTTCTCCAGAAACGATGTGTGAAACCACATACAAAGTATTGCCAGCCAGAGAAGCTCCCCCAAGCCTTGGTGTCCAGGGTTTTTACCGGGGGCAGTCACATAGGCATCAGACACCTGCATGACTCGATCTCCAAGCCCCTGCAGACCTCTCAGAGGTCAGACATAAACACAGTATGACCCAGGCCTCAAGCAAACAAAAACAGGTGTTCACCAGAAGTCATGTTGCCGTAAACTGTCTGGCCTGGCTGAGGCCCAGGGTCTGCAAAGGTGCTCTTATACCTGTGGGATGTTTGCGGGCTTAGAGAGAAACCCAGGAGTGGTTGAGGGCCAGGCCTGAAGCGCTTCACAGTATGTATGCCAGGCCTACTGTGCTAGCCCTTTACTGTGCACCCTCCAGAGTAAGAAAAGCCAGATTTGTTAAGGAAAGTAAGGTGGAATGGAGGCAAGGACATCTGACCAGGAAATTGTGCGTCACAGAAGGCTTGGACTGTTATTTGCGATGCTTTTTGGTCCTAAGATCCTGTGACTAGAAGGCAGTTTATAAAACCTTTTCCCTTGTAAGCCAGCACCCAGCACAGTGTTCTGGGGAGGGGGCGCATATATAGAAGAATATTTCAGTCTTCGGGTTGAGGGCATGGATTCCGGAAGGCCTGTGATCTCTTAAGCTGAGATACGAAAGATAACAGGAGTTAACCAAGCAGAGGTGATGGGAGGGGACCCCAGGGGTGGTGTGGAGGCCTTATATATGAAGACTTAGAGTGCTAGCCCCTCTGTCCTGGAGGGCTCACTGTTGCAGTGTGTTAGGCCGGAAGTGGCATGATGTGTGTTTGGGGATTATTCTGGCTGCAGTGTGGCCACCTGGGGAGTGGAGGGGGACGGCTGTAGCCTGACCCAGTGTAGCAGTGCTCTGCCATCAAGAACTGTGCCTTCATTTCACAGTATATACAGATACCGAATCATCATGTTGTACACTTGAAACTAATACAGTGTTCTATGTCAGCTATATTTCAGTAAAAATTTTTTGAAGACAAGATTAAACAAGTTAAAAAGACACCCACTAAAACAAAAATAGAAGCCCTCCACATTTTCAGAAAAGATAGATACCACGTTTTCAAAGAGTTTTTAAAGAATCTACAAAGAAATAAAAGGCATCATATAAAATAATGAGAAACTGGAACCAAATATACGCCAAATTGATAAATATACATGGGCCGAACTAATTTATTTAAAAAAAGAAATTCACATTGAATCATAAAGCAGAATCCAAATCTTGGCTGCATGCAAGGGACCGAAAACAAAATAATTTAGAAATCTTTACAGTTGTGCCAAAAAACAAAACAAAACAACTGTAGGAAGCAGAATTGATAGGACTTAGTGATTTAAGATAATGGGAGGGGAGCCAGAAAGAGCCTCTCTACTTTCAAGCTTAAGCGACATCTGTTCCTCTGATTAATACCAAAAGGACATTTTTGTGACGTTCATTCCTTTCTGTTGGATTTTATCCTGAAACTTTATTTGACTAAACTTGGCTTAAAGGTCAGTTTGCTGGTTTGTAAACATTGGACTGATGATTATCGGAAATTGAAGGTGAAATTGACATGTGGTAGAAAGAACATTGGACCCTAAATCAAACAGACCTGAATTCTAAGTTGAATTTGCCACTCGGTGGCACATCACATTTGGAATTTTTCTTTTCTTTTCTTTTTTTTTTTTTTTTTGACAGAGAGAGACACAGTGAGGGAGGGAACACAAGCAGGGGGAGCGGGAGAGGGAGAAGCAGGTTTCCTGTGGAGCAGGGAGCCTGATGTGGGGCTCGATCCCAGGACCCCGGGATCATGACCCGAGCTGAAGGCAGATGCTTAACGACTGAGCCACCCAGGCGCCCCTGGATTTTTTCTTAAGAGTGGGAATTGTAGGGACACCTGGGTGGTTCAGTTGGTTGGGCGTCTGCCTTCGGCTCAGATCATGATCCCAGGCCCCTGGGATCAAGTCCCGCATTGGGCTCCTTGCTCACTGGGGAGCCTGCCTGCCTCTCCCTCTGCTCCACCCCCTGCTTGTGCTTGCTCGCTCTCTCTCTTTCTCTCTGATAAATAAATAAAATCTTAAAAAAAAAAAAAAAGTGGGAATGGTAGTTGACTCGGGTGACAAAATGGCAGATTAATACAGACCCTGGATTTGAGAGCTTGCTGTGTTGCTTATTAGCTACGGTCAAGTAATTTAACCTTTATCTGCTAAATGGGAATATAATATAGTACCTCCTGTGGTGCTCGAGGATGAATGAGGCAACACCTGTGACGCACTGATGCACCAGGACAGGGTAAGACACTAAGTGGCCCATCGGTGGGGGCTTCCTTATTGTTGCCGCCTCCACTGTTGGCTCCCCCCACGCCTGCCTCTAAGAACAGCGTGTGTCCATGCGAATCCAGCCTGCTTGCATCCAGCTGCACCTGTCACCTGGACAAACATACCTTCCATTTTCCGCACCTTCTCCCATGTAGCGGTTAATAGAATATGATTGGATCATAGCTGCCTCTGGGTCAAGCCTATTTTCCTTTTTAATAAAATGAAGTTTTAATAAGTAGAAATGGATTTTTTGTACTGAAAGGGAGGAATACTTTTATCAGCTCAGATTCTTAGAGTAGAATTAATCACTTAAAATGTGGCATCTCTGTTCGCTTACTGTATTGCTTGCTACTGCTACTTTATTCATACCACTGAGCTCCCAAGTGGTTTTAATTCACTTTACAGAAAAGATACACAGTTCATTCAGATAAAAGTAACTAGATAAGGAAGTCAGAGAAGAGAGGGGTTGGAATTGGTGGACTAACTAGGCCCTAGTCACGGATGGGTTAGCGCCCACCAGGGATGGTGCCCTGAGGTCTCATTAGGCCGTCTCTGCCCCCGAGTCACTGATACAGAAGCTTGGGTGTTGTGACTGCTTCCAGGGGAACGTTGGTCACTGAGTAAACGAGGCTAAAGCAATATTCAGGGCTCTGCTGTGTTTCTCTGGGAGCTCACAGCATCTGTGACCAGGGCTTTTCCTCAGACCTGCCTCAGAGCTGGCACGAATGGGCGGATGTTTGGTTTTCCTCCTCACCCCTCGCTCCTCCTCAGCTAGCAGGTGTGCCTCCTTCTATCGGGTTATTGAAGCTAGAAGCTTGAGAGAGATCCTCTCTCTCTCTCTCTCTCTCGTAAGTTTATTTACTTATAATACATATAATTTAAGTATAATACAATTCTCTTGATAAAGTGTTCCATTCGGTGGATTTTGATATACTCTGAGTCATGGGAGTCGAACGTTTCCCCGGTCCCAGAAGAGTCCCTGAGGGGTTGCTCCCCGCCCCTCCCGGACTTCCCTTCCCTCCCAGCCATGCAGAAACACAAGTCTGTTTTCGGTGGCTTTGCCTCACTGGACTGCTCGCGTCACTGGAAGCATGTATTATCTGGTCCTTTGTGACTGGCCTTTTGGGGGCGTAATGTTTTCAAGGGTCATCTGTGTTGAAATGTGCATTAGCGCTCGTTCCTTTTACAGTTGTGTTGGATGATGCCGCATTTGGTTTATCCAGCCATCCTGTGCTGCCTATCTGGGTGTAAGAGATGTTCTCAAGGGGCACCTGGGGTGGCTCAGTTGGTTAAGCGACTGCCTTCGGCTCAGGTCATGATCTCAGGGTCCTGGGATCGAATCGCGCATCGGGCTCCCTGCTGGGCAGGAAGCCTGCTCCTCCCTCTCTCACTCCCCCTGTTTGTGTTCCCTCTCTCGCTGTCTCTCTCTCTCTGTCAAATAAATAAAAAATCTTTAAAAAAAAGATGTTCTCGATTTCTTCCTTTCTCCGACTTCCACATCAGTCCATCTGTGAATAGTGCCCATTCTCCTTCCAAAATGCACAGTCCGAGCATCCGTAGCACCTCACCACCTCAGCAGCCGCCTCACGGTCTTGGCTCCCCTGCTTCCGTTCTCCACACGCCAGCAGCAGGGACCTCACATGGATCAGGTTGTCTAACTTCTCTCCTTACAGCCCTTGCTGTGTCCTGCAAAGCCCCGCATGAGGGTGTTGCAAAATCTGATGCCTTCAGGGGACAGGCAGGGCCAAGGGCAGCGGGAGCAGGCACTCCTCACCTCAGGACCTACCGGGTCATCTCTGCAACGCCCTCATGTTCTTCACTCTCCCGCTGACTGGTTTTAGACAAAACAGCCTTTCCGTTCCTCACACAGGCCAAGCTGCTTTTGTCCTCGGGTCTTTGTGCAGGCTGTGCCCACTGCCTGGCATCTCCTCCCTGGACCCTTTCTTCACGCCAGCGCGGCCCCCCCCCCCACCCCTCCCGTTGCCCTATCTGTGCTCGGCCCACTCCCCGGGCTGTGGGGATGACCTGCCCCAGCGTCCGCCCGCCTCCCCGGGGCCAGCACTTAGCGTGGCTGCCGGAGCTGGTCCACTGAGGGAGGGGTGTGCTTGCTGCGTGTGTCAAGCATTAGTCATTTTAAGATGTGCTCAAAGATGAGTGTGGAGAATAAATCGCTGGAAAACAAATGACCATTTCTAAGCAAAAATAAGTTGTCTTTTTGTGGGATTTCACACTCATTTGGGTAACAGGTATCTTTACTGATGCTGTGTATAATCATAAGGGAGTGTGTATAGGTAGAAATGTAAACCTCCTCATCGAAAAGGATATTTGTTTTCATTATATACAGGGGTGAGAGCCAGTTCCTGGATTCTCGGGTACACCTCTCTGCCACTTAGAATGTTCTCCACCACAATTCTTTCTTTACCGTTGTATTTCTTCCCCCTGGTGCTCCTCATTCACCAACAACACACGCAAAATACGGGTGTTTTAATGATTTGGAAATAAACTGGGACCCATACTCTGGTCACTTATTGATGATTATGATCCTTCTTATCCTCCTTGAAATAAAATTCACTATGATAATGTTTAGATCTCAGGACATAAGAGAGTTAAAAGTGATTGACGTCTGGAAGAGTTCAGAGCTTGCTTTCCTCCTTGACTTTTCACACTGTCTACAGAATGCAGTTTGGAACCCACAGATCTCATACAGGGTATCCTGGTGATACTTGAAAAACTACAAGAAATAAATTCACTCATGTATTTTGCCTCACATTCACTATTATTTTTTCTCTCTTTAGGTGCTATTTCAAGTGGTTTCAGGCTGGAAGAGTCTCCATTTGTTCCCTATGACTTTATGAACAGCAGTACTTCTCCAGCCAGCCCTCCGGGTTCAATAGGAGATGGCTGGCCACGTGCCAAATCGCCTAACGGCTCTAGCAGTGTTAACTGGCCACCAGGTAAAGTGCTGACCGCTTCTTTCACGAGACTCTGCTTCCCTTACTTGTCATTACCGCTAGATGCGCTAGTGATATAGGCCCGTTCGGGCGGACCGGCCTGAGCTCTGCCACGGGTAGGAAGGATGCACACAGGACGCACGGAAAGCTGAGCATCAGGGCTCAGGCAGAGGAGCCAGTCTAGCCTGTCACCAGTGCCTTTATGCTCCAGGCAGTGAAGGGGGAAGGAGTCCCGCCGGCCGGCATGAGGAATAAAATAAAACCTTTGTTCCGGGTTCCTCTTCATCAGCACCAGGGGTCTGGACTGAAGCATTACCAGGAATGGACTTACAGCCTTTTTTTCTGTTTGCTTTGCTATGGCTTGTGATTTAATAAAGCATTTAAAATGTTACCGTTAGGGGCGCCTGGCTGGCTCAGCCGGTAGAGCACACAACTCTTGATCTCGGGGTTATAAGTTTGAGCCTCACATTGGGTATAGAGCTTAAAAATAAAATCTTTTTTTTTTTTTTTAAGATTTTATTTATTTGAGAGAGTGTGAGAGAGCACGAGCAGGGGGAAAGACGGAGAGAGAGAAGCTGACTCCCTGCCGAGCAGGAAGCACAATGTAGGGTTTGAGCCCAGGACCCTGATATCCAAGATCATAACCTGAGCCGAAGGCAGGCACTCAACCGACTGAGCCACCTAGGTGCCCTTATTATTATTATTTTTAAGATTCTGCTTTTGGGGTGCCTGGGTGGCTCAGTCGCTTGAGCGTTTACCTTCGGCTCAGGTCATGATCTCGGGGTCCTGGGATCGAGCCCCACATCGGGCTCCCTGCTCGGTGGGGAGTCTGCTTCTCCCTCTCCCCTTGCTTATCCTCATGTGCTTGTTCTCTCTCTCTCTCTCTGTCAAATAAATAAAATCTTTTAAAAATAAAATAAATTCAAAAAGTAAAATGTTACTGTTTAAAAAATATATAAACCCCAAGAAATGATTCCAGTTGCAGAAATACGCAAGTTATTCATAAACAGCAGCTTATGCTACACTAATAGTAGTACTGAATCAGTCTCTCAGAGTGCTGGCATTAACTGGAAAATATTTGATAATTGCATAGGCTTTAGGAATACAAGTTTTGCTTATTTAATAATGGATCTCTAAGTGATGATTAAGCCTGAACTAATTTTAAGTTTTCATTTCCAGAATTTCGCCCTGGTGAACCATGGAAAGGTTATCCAAACATTGACCCTGAAACTGACCCTTACGTCACTCCTGGCAGTGTCATAAACAATCTTTCAATTAATACTGTGCGGGAAGTTGACCACCTCAGGGACAGGAACAGTGGTACGTAGGCGGGTACAAGACAGAATTTCTGAATGATGCCGGATGACGCTAAAGTTTAAGGATGGTTCACAGAGGATGTGATACTTTCAGCCCATCACAGCATCTGACATCCGAGGGAGTCATGAAAATAAAAAGTGAATTCTCAATTTTCCCATAGGTGGTTTTTTGCCACTTTAAAAATGATGAGGATTTATTATAATTTGATATAGTAAACATATACATTCACCTAACACAAAGGACCAACAAAATTTGCTTTCCATGAATTATAGTAGCAACTGAAAGGTTGTTACCTACTTTATAACAAGTTTCAGTGTTGTGATTAAGAAATGGGTGTTTCATATAAAAGATGTTATATTATCATTCATTTATACATTCTTATTAAGGAACTTTTGTGTGAGGAAGCAATTTAGCTTTCTTTGTCTCTCCAAAAGTGTAAATTAAGACCAATGTAAGGGTCCCTCCAGTTCGGATGCACTTTTTAATGGGTTATCAAACACAGTCATCCTACCACCTACCGTATAGTTTTCCCTCACCGCAGTCATTTAAAGTATTCTCTGCATGCACCTGAAGGAAGGCGAAGGGAGTGAGAGAAAGTCCTTTGTTTCCGTTCGAAACCTACATCCTCCTATTCCTCTAAACAGTTTATGACACATAAAACTGCATTTTACGTTAAGTATATCATTTTGTTAAGAGGTGTTTGCCGTATCACAATGGTAAGGAAAGAATCCTCATTCTAAAATGGCTGAACAGACCACTGTATAGAAATAAAGTACCTATCGCTGTCCCAGCAGAACAGGGACAGAGCCAAGGGGAGAGCCTCATGGCCTTGTATGTAGTTAATGGAAGAATCTGGCAGCTTGCAGAAATAGGCTTCTTTGTGGAAGATTGTTAGTCAGGAGAGGAGTTTAGATTTGATGTTAGAAGACAAGAACCATTGAAGGTTTTGAGTGGAAGTCTTGCCATTGAAGGCAGGTAGTCTGACAGTGGCGAGCAGAAGGGATGGAGTGGGAGGCTAGGTCGGAGTTATTACAGATCCAGACGACAGTCCAGCCTGGAGCGGGGACTAGTAGTCGAGGGGGTTTCGAACATAGGGGGAAAGCCTAGGTTTGGGGAGGCTGCTGTGGGGCATGATGGAGGGTGAGGGCCTGCTGGTGCCAGGCTGCCCCGGGGGGAGGGGGTGGTCTGGTGAGAAGTCGCTGGAGTTCAGTCAGGGGTTTGGGGGCAGGAGGACCTAGCCCTTCTTCTGGAGCCCAAAGTGGGACGCAGAGCCAGTGTGGTCTCAGTGTCAGGCAGAGGAGGGAAGCTACCTCGCTGAGCCACAGTCAGAACAGTGAGCCAGCCCCCTGGGCATGCTGTCGTGAAGGCAGGAAGGAAGGTGCAGTCATGGGCACCGTCCTGGGACCCCAGCATCCGTTTCCCTCACCGGAAGCTTCTGCTCATTCTTCAAGCGCCATGCCCCTTGCTCTGGGGATAACTAACCGGGCTCTTCCCCCACATAGGGTCATCCTCATCCTTGAACACCACGCTGCCTTCAACTAGTGCCTGGTCATCCATTCGTGCCTCCAACTACAACGTTCCCCTCAGCAGTACAGCACAAAGCACTTCAGGTGGGCCTTATCCTGGGCTTGCCGATGCCCTGTCAGAGGAGTGGGGTACTCAGCACCTGTGGCTGGGGCTGCTGTGGGGCAGTCTGCTCTTTACCTGAAGTCTTCTCGGGGAGGTAGGAGAGTATATTTTGGAACCTGAGAAGAGACTTGTAGCACCATTTGTCCCTTTCTGAGATTGACTGGACCCAGCAGTCATTTCTAAAACAGTCCCCTTTCCCTGAGCCGCTCTCGCTCTCTCGTCTGAGAGCCAGCTCGTTAAATGCAGTTTCATTCGAAGCAATTCTCAAATGAGGCAGCTTTTATTTTTGTAATTTCCAATCCTTGGCAGACTGATATTTCTGTAACGTATAGCAAACGTGACCTTGGAATTGCTGGAAAAGTGATCATACTTGGGAGCTGGGGCCATGTCTGGTTGCGGTCTGCTTTTGGATGCTCGCTCTGCATTTCTGTGCTTGTTCTGTCAGAGACCAGTGAGAGCCCGTGTGGTGACCAAGCTTCCCACCACACTTCCAGTCTCGCTGACTTAAAGGATGTTCACTTTATGAATCAAGTAGAAACATAGTGAACAGTGACAGAAGTTACAGAATTTTCCATCCACTTCTGCCCCCTTGTGGTTTTGTAGGATTATGTTGAACGAGTTGCACACCCCCATGGCCATGAGGCAGCACACATCAGGAAGTGAGCTTTCTTCTCCTCCTCCTCTTTTTTTTTTTAAAGCTACACAGGCCTGGGGTTGAATCTTGGCTGTGCACAGGACCCATAGGCAAGTTGTTAACCTCCCTGACCTCGGTAGGCTGTGTGTCAGGACTAGAGCTAGTCGCACCAAGTGCTGCTCGGCACGGAGAGGTGCCCGGTGGACGTCGGCTGTGAGGACTCTCCCTGAGTTGGGGCCACTTTTGTGGTCCTTTTTCCCATGTGTAAATCAGAGTTCTAAAATGTATTTAATGACCTATGTGACGCTCTCAAGTGACTCAGTTATGGTCATAAAGGTAAGGAGTTCCCAGTTGCTGTTTTAGACCGGTTGAAAGCAGTGTTTTTTGTTTTGTTTTGATTTTGGTTGCAGTATAGTTTTGTACACTGGGCTAAGAATTTCATAAGTCTTGAAATTTTTAATAGACCAATGGTTTGAGTGTTTTGAGTCAAGGGAGCAGCTTTTGGCTTTTGTGGGGTTTTTTTGGCGGTTTGAGTTGGGGACTTTTAATAGAGTTTCTTTTGGGGGGAGAATTGGGTGCTGTCGTTATTTAAATTTTCTCTTTGCTAAAAGCATTATCTCCCCCCCCCCCCCCCCCTGTGTTTTTTCCCTGTGAGTAGCCAGAAATAGTGATTCCAAATTGACATGGTCTCCTGGTTCAGTTACAAACACCTCTCTGGCTCATGAGCTGTGGAAGGTCCCTTTACCACCTAAAAACATCACTGCTCCGTCCCGCCCACCTCCGGGACTGACTGGTCAGAAGCCACCCTTGTCTACGTGGGATAACTCTCCCCTTCGTGTAGGTGGAGGATGGGGGAATTCTGACGCCAGGTACACCCCAGGTGAGACGAACATGATGCTCGGGATGGTTTCTTGCTGTTTCTTTGCTGAACAGGAATGCACAGTTCAGTCTAACAGAGACCTGTGCGTTACCCGCTATAAAGTAGGATTCAAACTTAGACGTGCGACTCCCCGCACATTGCCATCTTCCGCAATTTTTAGGTCTTTGTGAGTCTTAAATTTTACTTGAAAATGTACCTGGTTTACTTAAGAACACGTGGCCAAAGCCACACTAGTCAGTGGTCAGGTTAACAGAATGGACGTCACGTCTCTTTCAGAAGTTCCCCGGAGCCTGAGGACATCTGCTCACGTCCTGCTCGTGGCAGGCACGCAGGGTCGCAGCGTGCTGGGCAGAGAGGCTGGGGAAGGGGGAGCAGCCCGGCTGGGCCTGTTTGGGTGGCAGCTGGGCCTGACCGTGTATGATTTCAGCAGGGACATGTGAGAGTGGAAGGAGGTACTGGGAGTTAACCATGCGGGGCCAGCAGTCCCAGGAAAACCGCCCCCCGGCGTCCCCTTCCTGCTCTTCCTGCACACGACTCGCACTGCATTCGGACTGGCATTGTGTCCCCACGCTGACACTCACACACACAGATTGAACTAGCTGTCTACCAGTTGTACCAGTAAACAGTCTTGGTCTTCATTCTCCTCCATCCCAGAACTGTAGCAGACCTTCTCATCTCTAGGCTGAAAATAGTAAAAACTTCATAGCGATGTCCAAGCTTTAGATAGGTGATTGGGTGAAAGAAAGCTTGCCAGTGTTTCCTTTGGGAAAAAGTTCTAAGGGACGGGGAGTGGAGTTTTGATTCCATGAAAGGATACAGCTACTGAATGCACATGAATGTAGTCGGTGTCCTGTGTGAGCGGTTCTTTCGGGCCGCAGGCGCTTCTGGGCACCAGCTGCATGGCCGGTGGTGGCACGGTGACGGGAGAGGATACGGTCCCCGGGGCCCCGCACTCAGGGGGGCTGGTGGAACCGAGTAAGGGTCGACCAGGCAAAGCAGAGAGGACACGTATGCCAAGGCAAGCAGGCCAGGAAAGCGCTAGCAGTCCTGTGGGAGTTGCCAGAGACTTGGGGTTGGGGTGAGCCAGTGCAGGGAGAGATGAGTAGGCAGGCGCCATGTCACAGCGCAGTCTTCCTCAGGCACGCCGACGTGTTGCTGAGGTACCTCAGACACTCAGGAACGACTGGATCCAAAAGTCGTGCTGCTGGGAGCTCGGGCGCCCTGGGGCTGAGCAGGAAGGTCAGTCTGGGAGCTCCTCGGGAGCCAGCCAGACACAGAAACATCTGGGCGATTGCAAGCTCACTCTTTCCGATTGAAGTCCAGTGGACACACAGCATGCGGTAGTTTCAGACGTACGACCAGTGATTCAGCAGGTCTCTACGTGACGCTGTGCTCACCTCAAGTGTAGCTACCATCTGTCCCCACACACTATTCCAGTACCATCGACTGTATTCCCCATGCTGAACCTTTTCCTGTATCTTCTTCATTCCCTAACTGGAAGCCTGGACCTCCCTCTCCCCCTCCCATTTTACCCACCCCAACCCCCACCACCCTTGCCCCAGCAACCTTCAGTTTGCTCTCTGTATTTATAGGTCTGATCCAGCTTTGTTTGTTTTGTTTTTTTTTTTTTAAGTTCCACATACAAGTGAGATCGTATGGTATTTGCCTTTCTCGGACGTATTTCAGTTAGCATAATACCTTCTAGGGCCATCCATGTTGTCACATGAGGCAAGATCTCATCCTTGTTTGTGCCTGAGTAATACTCCATTGTGTATTTATGCCACATTTTCCTTATTCATTTGTCTATTGAGGGACACTGATTGAAGGTTTTTAAATCCCCTTAGAGATTGACACCCTGTGACATATGCCTGCAGAGTCATCAGACCATACCTTAGATCATCACAACCGAGGCCTTTCCCCAGAAGTTCTATTTTGAGATCGTTTTAGCTTTGCCAAAGGATGGCAAAGGGATACGGCCCTTTGTGCTCCCTTGCCTGCTGTGTGATGAGCTGGGGGCTGTCTGAGCTCACTCTCCCCAGAGGCAGAGCCACCTGGCCTGGGGAAGTAAGGCCTGGTCAGAGCTGGTGTGAGCGGCCCCCAGAGCTGCGGGGAAATTGCCGCAGTAGAAGTGCAGGCGGCTGGGCGGGCAGGGCAGGGTGCCAGGGGCCCAGGTGCTCCTCCCAAGCAGCCATCACTTGACTGGAATGTGTTTGTCCTCAGTGTCATTCGGGCCCCAGCTGTGGAAAACTGACTTGCCCTTCTTTGTCCTTAGGTTCCAGCTGGGGTGAGAGCAGCTCAGGGAGAATAACAAATTGGCTTGTTCTAAAGAACCTTACACCTCAGGTAAGAATATCAGGCATCCTGGCCAATAGGCACAGGCCAGGTAGCACGGGAACAGAGGGTTCCAGGCTTGAGAGGAGGTCCTACCCAGGCCTCCCACAGGCTACTGAGTAGACCAGGCCGAGGAAGTAACAGAGGATGATCTTTGGATGGCTCAGGCAGGCTGTGGTCTGCCCCAGTTTGTTTACACTACAAAATGTGCACGGAGCGGACCAAAATTGATTCCTCAGTCTCGCTCCAGAGATGCTGCTGGAGTAGGAGTAGGTCCGGGCTAGAATCGGGGTCTGTACTTTCATGCAGGTGGTCCTTGTACTGCAGTCGAGAAATCCTGGTCTGCCCTCGTAGATGAGAAAATCTCCTTAGGCCCTGGACCACCCCTCCTCTGGAGGCTGGATGTTAAGAGCCCACCCCCTCCTCTCCCAGGGAGCAGTGCCTTGATGAATCCTGTCCTCAGGGCAGGGAAGAGAGAAGACATGAAGCCACAGCAGGGGCATGGCTAACTAAGGAAGTGGGGATCTGGGGAGTGTCCAGGAATCTAGAGGCCACAGAGGTATGGCTCTGGGACCAGTGGAGGTGGGGAGGGGGGCACTGGACCCCGTCACAGCAGTGAGTCCCAGCGAAGAGTGTCAGCAGGAGCACAGAACCTCGGGCAGGAAAGAGAGGAGCAGAGTCCCAGCCTGGGACAACCTCCCTGGATGGTCCTCGTGACAGATCATCTAATTGGCGGCTCCCCACACTCTGTCTCCTAGATCGATGGCTCAACTCTGCGTACTCTGTGCATGCAGCATGGCCCACTGATAACATTCCACCTGAACCTCCCACATGGAAATGCTTTGGTCCGTTACAGTTCAAAAGAAGAGGTAGTGAAGGCACAAAAGTCTCTGCACATGTAAGTTGGCTGTCTGGTGCCCTCATGATTGGAAGAGTTTGAGTTCCCTTGTGTGTGGAAACAGCTGATGACTGTGTGTCATCTCCGGGCCAGCACGTGGGGCCCTGCAGTAAGAGTGCTTCGTAATGCGGCAGCCTCGCTCTGTCTTGGGTTCCAAGGTCAGTACGCCTAAGGGGAAGCATCACCCCTCAAAATGGCCCTAGACGAATCTCTTAAATCACTTATAGGAGACAAAAAAAGCCTTGATCTGTCTAGATACCACAACCACACGAGTGGGTCAGGTTTTGCCGTGGGCCCTGAAGAGCCCTGGGCCAGGCCTGGCGCCACCACCCCCCTCCGCCCCTCCTCCCCTCACCTTTTGAGCAGAGGCTGAGTGCTCCCCTCACTTCGAATCAGACCCTTGAGACGCCCCGAGTCTTCACCGCATCCCCTCTGTCTCTTCCCTCCAGGTGTGTATTGGGGAACACTACTATTCTTGCTGAGTTTGCCAGTGAAGAGGAGATCAGCCGTTTCTTTGCACAAAGTCAGTCTCTGACCCCTTCTCCCGGCTGGCAGTCTCTCGGGTCCAGCCAGAGCCGGCTGGGCTCCCTCGACTGTTCCCACTCGTTCTCCAGCCGGACCGATCTCAATCACTGGAATGGTGCTGGGCTGTCGGGAACTCACTGTGGAGACCTTCACGGCACTTCACTCTGGGGGACCCCACATTATTCCACAAGCCTGTGGGGTCCTCCCAGCAGCAGCGACCCCCGGGGAATTAGCAGCCCATCCCCCATTAACGCTTTTCTTTCTGTTGACCACCTGGGTGGGGGTGGAGAGTCCATGTAACGTGTCAATGTAGACTCACGAACTGTGACCTCAAGAAGCGTAAAGAAAGGAGCACTAAGTTGGGCTCGCCGCCTGCAGCCAGGGGCCACCTGTGGGAACAGCTCTTCTCTGCACATTTTCCACTTTGTTTTCCCTGAAACATATCAGTTTGAATACTTGAATCATGCAGGCCAATATTATAATGTGAAAAGGTATCTATCTATTTACACTCCCAAATAGCGCCATACATGCTAAACCGTATAGAATGAGCTCACTTGTGTATATTCATCATGTTTAGCCTTTGGGTTCTTTTTTTTTTTCCTCCCCACCCTGTCTCTCCTTCCCTTCCCAATTTCCTTCCCCATCCCTCACCCCCCGTTTTCCTCTCTCTTTTTCTTTCTCGCTCTCTCTCTTTTTTTTTTTTTTAAAACCATTTTTTTGGGCTGATAATGTATGAGCTTTTAACTTTGCACTGAATGATGTTCTCTCGTCTAATCGGCAATATGGGGGGGCAGCTGTTCCGGTGTAAATGTTTACTCAAGGATGTTCTTAAAGGTGTGCGCTCTCTACTATGCCTTGATGTTTGCCTACCTTACTGTGGTGTCGTGGAGTTTAAAAGACCCGAGTTCTGATGCTGACGTAGGACTATAAATGAAAGTATTGCACCAGTGTTTTCATGTTCTAAAACTAAAGAATTTCGCTCTGCAGTTTGAAAAACTGTGGCCACAGCTGTGACTTGCAGCCCCCCTGCCACCCAGGACGGGCCCTGCACTTTGAATAGGCTTTCCATTTTGTTTTGAAGGTTCCCACGGTGAACCTTCTTGTTTACAGATTTTTTTGTTTGTTTTTTGAGAAAAAAAAATGTTTACTCTTCCATCATTTAAAAAAAATTTAAAAGACAAAAAAAAATAAAAAACAATGGAGGATGATTTACAAGATGCTTTCTATCTCTGGGAAAAAGGAGCAGCATTTGGCCATGTTCTTTTGTTTTCTATTCCTGTCCTAAATCCAAGAGCATGGTTCTCAGGAAAACCAGTTACCCAGTTAGGAAAAAAAAAAATTTTAAAAATAAAAAAATAAAAAAATATCTCCTTGTAGTTTCTTATAGGAAAAAAAAAAACACGAAAACCCCAACTTTTAGCACTGATACTACGTATTGCTCTGTTAAAGAATTTTCTCTGCCAAAAAAAAGAAAAAAAACAAAAAAACGCTTAAAGCTGGAGTTGACATTCTGCTTTCAGATGCTTTTTATTAGTGAGTGATGATGGTTTGCTAATAATCAATAGGTGATAATTTTTTGTAACCCCATCAAGTGGCTCTCTCTGTTTCTGCTCTCCTGTGACTGTGTTAATGTTGAACTGTTGTACCTTAAAGCCGAAATCAGTAACTATGCATACTGTAGCCGGTATTGGGCTTACAGAATTGTTCGTTGTATAAAGAAAATTTTAAATGTTGTTGCAAACTAACGAGTTATACCATTTTTAAACTTACTTTCTCCTCGCCCCCTTTTTTTGCCCACAAATGGTATTATAATGCTTGCTTAGTCAAAGAAGACGGGCCAAACAAGGGTAAACATTTTAACAGCGCAGAATTTGCCATCATTTCATTGCCTTGATCTAACTGTTTGTGTCCTAAGATGCAAAAGAAGTCAGTGGCTTTTAACTGTTTACAAATAGAATGTGATTGTAAAATGTACAGTTTGGTTGTGTTTGAATTATGAAATCCTTCCCGATATAATAAACCATGACTTTTTGGCTGCTCAACATTAATTGTCTCTTTTTTGTGAATTTCTTTGTACGCTCTTTTTTACAATGAACGTTTCAGCGTTGCTGTATATGAGGGTCCTCATAGAGCAACCGAGTACAAATCTAAGCAAATATTTGAACATTCTATCCGAACTTCTCCACAATTTCACCCTGAAATAATGTGAGGACAATGGGAAACTGTAGCTTGCTCCTTCCTACCCTCTCTGAGCATCTTTGGGATCTTGTTGCTCAAAGCTCTCCTGTGACTTCATCTTCCCCACCATTTGTGCCCATCTCAAGCCTCAGCAAGAGACCATTTGGAACATGAAGCTTAATGACTTGCCAGTGTTCTAGTGTTAAACTCTCATACCTCTGTTACAAAATGAGAAATGCCACAACCTGGACTGGCCTTTTTCTTCCCCCTTCATGGCCCTCTCTCCTGACCGCGGGAGCTCTGGGGCAAAACCTGTGTGTGTATCCCAGCGTATGACTTCAAATCCTGCTCCGGCTTGCCAGGTGTGAGCTAATGTTGGACACCTTCCTATAAGCAAATGTTGTTCAATGCATTCAATGTATATTGACTTCCATACTGGTTTTTCCAAAAACCAAAGGTAGCTTTGAAAAACCACGTTTGGAAATGTTTGGAACGTTAAGCTGATTGACCTTTTGGGGCTTTGAGTAGTATATAATTGAATTCATAACTGCGTTAATTGTATTGTTAAAGTGTTTGGGAGTTTTTTGCGCTTGTTATGTGGAAATAAAGTGTTTGATTTAAAAAATTAAAAAGTGGTTTTGGTTTTTGCCTAGTCCTTAAATCATTACAGCTCTGTTCCCTGAGCGGCCGTGTGACTCCGAAGTCCACTGTAACCTCTCTCAGCTGCTGGAGCCTTAGTCCAGGCCCTTACTCTGCCCTCGACATTCCCCTGGCCAGATGGCCTCGAGTCACAGCCCGCCTGCAGGAGGCGCTCTAAACGCTTTCACACATCCGGTCATGCATTATTCCCACGTACAGCTCACAGCAGCCATGAGGTTCCCGCAGCCCCGGGAGCGTGCCTGGCCCGGCTCACCCGCGTGCACGTGCTGTCCCCAGCACGAGCAGGCACCTCTGTCCCACCCCCAGTCGCAGTCGCTTGCTACGGGAGCGTCATCCCCCCTCCGGTCAGTATCTTGAGGCACTGGGCCAGGCCACCGGCTGGTGACTGAGCTCTTGCTCATCTGGGTAGGCCACGTGCTCAGACGCGTGGTAGGTGCCGAGTAAATACTGGAAGGAATGACAGCCCATCCCCCGTTGACATTTGAGAACCGAAAATCGCCGTAGTGCCACTAGTCGAACTGGGTGCAGCGGGGACAGTTGAGGTGAAGTTCTTGACAGGTGGGCGGCGAGTCAAATCTGGGTTCAAGGGTACGGAGAGAAGAGCGTGAAGAAGGGTGGGGGGTGAAGGGGGCAGACTGTGTGTTTGGATCACACACAAATGGAAGTCGCACTGAGCAAGTTGGCTCGCTGTTGGGTTAAAAGACCATTTCCGAGCATGGGAGCACTGGTCTCCCCCTTCTCCAAAACTTAGACCAATTCCTGTGGAGCCTTTGGTGCCAGATGCAGGCAGCGGGGTCACTGAGCCAGAGCCAGAATCGCAACCCCAGTGAGCTTTGGGGGCCCCTTCCAGACACCCAGCCCCGGGCCCTGGCAGGGCTTCCTCCGAGCAGGCATTCACAAGGTCATGGGAAAGGGGAACGGCTGTGGTGGTAAGTTAAGGGTCTTCCGCATGCCCGGTGCTTCAAACTCCTCTTTCTCCCCCGGCCTTCAGAGCACCCCAGCCCGGCCCTGGAACGGGAAACGAAGTCCTAGCGCAGTGGCTCTCAGGTCGCCCGCCAACACACCCCTAAAGTTCAGTAGAGAATGGAGGAAGTGCATCTTGGGATTGGGGGCAGAGTTTTAAGCTCTGCATTTTAGAGTTAACACCACGTAGGAATGTTGCATTCTCCGTGGTATCTGTTTTCATCTAGAAATAAGTGTTTCGGGTAGCCAGTTACATTGCTCTGATGCGTGGGAGCGACGGGCCATGGTGAGGCCCAGGAGCCCCACTTTGAGAAGCAGGCTCGACCCTTGGTTCTGGTCGGCTTGAGTAGCAGAGACTGAGCTCCAGCAAAGGGGCAAGAGAGTGACTTCCCCGAGTCTCGGAGCCCCGTCCAAGCCTTGGAGATGCTCCTGTCCTGGCTGGCTGTTGACCCACTAGGTAGGGAAGCACCCCAACATGCTGGTAGAGCAGGACTCAGCTCTGGACAGTGAGGGGAGCTGCATCCGAGGTCCAGCCAACTTATAGGAAAAGACAAACTTCAGGTGACCCTGGGACCTGAGCAGTCCGTAGGCTGAATCCAACTCATGGACCTCCATTACGACATTACCCCACCACTGGACCACCCAGGGTTCCACTGACTTACTTGGTTTTTTAACCAACTTTTTAAAATCAATTTCTTGACAAAGTTGAAAATTGGCCATGTCCTTACCGTGTGGAAAATCAGTGCCGTTTGCCATACACAAACGGGGGCTGTCAAAAACTCAGGCACACAAAAATGTCCTCAGTTCTGCTGTATTCAATCCAATTCGGTCAAAGTTAAAGGGGGAAATTAGAAAGTTGGGGAGAGAGAGAGAGAGACGTCCTGCCCGACGTGGCCAGACGCATGGCCAGGGCAAAGCGGTATTTGTGCGTGATGCAGTGTTACCTCCTTCGACTGAAAAGCTCTCAGGTTACCCTCAGCCCCGGGGGTGGTTCCCCTGCACTCAGCAGAAACCCCAAGCTGCTTCCCTCGGCCTGCACAGGCCCTGCGTGCCCTGCCCTCCCCCGCTGCCCTCCACTAGCTCAGTGCCCTGGGCCCTGCTGGCTTCCCGCCCATCCTCCAGCACTCCTGACCCTTGCTGTCCTGTAAACTGTGGTGGCCCCATTGGTGAGGGCTGGCTGCTCCTCACAAGGGGCCTGGGGACCTCCTCCTCCTCCTCCAGTCACAGCCTTCGGGAGCAGCCCCTCCCTGCAAGACTTGCTGAGGAAAACGGAATTGGTCCATATTCAGGGATGGGAGAGATGCAGTTTCCCCAGCGATGCAAGGACCAGCGCGAGCTCCTGCTCTGGAGCTTCAGCCGGCAGAGTGTCGGGGGTGGGGGAAGTTTGTAGGAACCCGGGGAAGAAAACTGGGTCTGAGCCGTCCCGCTGTCCTAGAAAGGCCGCCATCTGGGCGGTGTGTGCGAATGGTGGTGGGGGAAGAGGTCGAGCCGGAGAGGGGCTTGCAGTGAGAGCCTGACAGACCCCGGCAGAGCACGGCCAGGTGAGCACGGCCAGGTGAGGGGAGTGCAAGCTGCCCAGAGGAGCCAGGCTTTGGAAGAGGCAGGAAACAGGGTTTCCGGAAACCAGAAGCGGAGGGAGGGTAGGCAGGGGAAGTTCCAAATCCAGATTGAGAGTAGAGTTTCAGAATAAACAAGACGGAATCTGAGATGGTTAATTTTATGTGTCAGCTTGGCCGGCCATGGCCCAGTATTGTTCTGGAGGCTTCTATGATGGCACTTTTGGATGAGATTGACATTTAAATCAGTAGACTTTGAGTAGACTTGAGTAGAGCAAATTGTCCTCCAATCAGTTGAAGGCTTGACTAGAACAAAAAAGGCTGCCGTCCCCTGAGCAAGAGGAAATTGGGCAGCAGACAGCCTTTGGACTTGAACTGCACCATCTTCCTGGTGCTCCCGCCCTTGGACTACCGTGCAAGTTCTGGACTTGCCAGCTTTTATAATCATGTGAGCCAATACCTTAAAATAGATCTCTTTCTCTCTCTATGTACACATCCTATTGTTTCTGAATTTCTGGAGAACCTTGATGAATGAATCACAGAGTGAGACCGTTCTCAGAAAGCCGTTGAGTGTGTGGAAGCTGGGTCAGAACCGCTCGTGAGTTACTGGATGCGGAGTAGTTAGGAAAACAGTACTTAGCAAAACAAACTATTTCAAGCGTATGTCTCCAGTAGGTTGTGACTTCTGCTCCCACTCCAAGAGCATTTACTTGTTTTTTTTCTTTTTAAGATTTATTTGAGAGAGAGAGAGCATAAGCAGTGGGGGCGGGGGGAGAAAGAGAGCATCTCAAGCAGACTCCGTGCAGAGCCCAACCCGGGGTTCGATCCCACAATCCTGAGATAATGACCTGAGCTGAAACTAAGAGTCGGACACTTAACCTACTGAGCCAGCCAGGTGCCCCTACTTCTCTCTTTTTTTTTTTTTTTAAGATTTTTTATTTTTAAGTAATCTCTATGTCCAACGTGGGGCTCGAACTCACAACCCTGAGATCAAGAGCTGCATACTCCGCCAACTGAGCCAGCCAGAAGCCCCTACTTCTCTTTTGTTAATAACAGCTTTATTGAGATACAATTCGCCTGCCATACAACTCACCCACTGAGAGTGTATACACCAGTCACAAAGTTTGTGCCCTCGTGGCTTCAGTCGAGTTTAGGACCTTTCCATCATTGAGTCCTCACTAGAGCACTGATTGCATATTTTCTCTCCAACCACCCAGCCCCAGGCAGCTACTAATCCACTCTGTCCCTAGAACTCTGCCTCTCCTGGACACTTCGTATAAACCCTCTAGGGCCTACATTGTGTATCTGCGTCCGGTGAGCACAGGTTCCACGGAGCATCGTGTTTTCCAGCTTCCTCCACGTTGTGCCATGGGCCCGCATGTCCTTCCTCCGATTGCTGAGCAGTATTCCACTGTACGGATGGACCACATTGTGTTTATCCATTCATCGGTCGACGGACCGTTTGGGCTGTTTCCACTTTTTGGCCGTCGTGGATAAGGCCGCGCTGAACATTCGCAGTGTGTGAGCGCAGTAGCTTCCGCAGAGAATGTGATTGTCTGCTTCTCGACCATGTGGTTCATGGCGAGCGCACAGCCACCATGCAGGGCACGAATGCTTGTCCACGGTCACTAGTATTTCTGAGTCCACTTCTTCAACTATAGGCATATGAGCTGAGTCTATCTGAAATCCAGAAAATGCTGGAAGCCAGAGGCTCTTTGGTAAGTTTGTCGCAAACCGTTTGGGGCAAGACTGGAGGCTCTTCACTGGTCTTATTGATAGCGTGAAAGGTTCTAGGTCTCACTGCAGAAATGGAGATGTGCTTGATGATGGCTGACTGCCCGAGTCCTCACCGAGTGTTCTGTAAAATACAGGAAGAACGACAACAGTGGCAACATCACCACCACTCCCAATAATAATAAAGGTGTTATCTGTACAGAACTGAGATGAAACGGAGTCTCCCAGATCCAGCCCCAAGTAAAGCCCACCTCCGGGGTGACGGTGCGGGGATTAGAGGAGCACCGTGTCAAGAGTAGCCATTGTCGGGGGCACCTGGGTGGTTCCGTCAGTTGGGCGTCTGCCTTCGGCTCAGGTCATGATCCCAGGGTCCTGGGATCGAGTCCCATGTCGGGCTCCCTGCTCGGTGGGGAGCCTGCTTCTCCCTCTCCCTCTGCCTGCAGCTCTCCCTGCTTGTGAGCTCTCTCTCTCTCTCTCTCTCTCTGTGTCAAATAAATAAAAATAAAACCTTAAAAAAAAAAAAGAACGGCATTGTCGCCATCGTGGAGTGTGGCGTCAGGTGGGCAGAAGCTCCCGTTTTGAGGAAGTTCACAGTCCGCTGGGGAGGGTGGGGGAGGCACATGGCAGGAGTTTTACAACTGAGTCCAGAATGCCAAGCAACAGATAAGGTGAGTAAACTGAGGCTTTCAGATGTTTATGTGCCTGGTCCCAAGTCACGT